CTCAATCACCAGAGGTGCTATCATTACGGTGCCTTCGTGTGTCGAAGTTTTGGCAAGCATGTACACGGTAAAGATTTTTAAATTGCCAAGGTGAGCCAAACATAGCAATTAACAAAACAATGCTAAAACTGCATGACAACAAAATCGCAAGGATTTTTCATCATTTATTTCATCTCCATCGTGAGACCTACGACATGCCAAAGATCATATTGATAATCTCCTTCCCTGGCTCACATTATTTTCCCCTCTTGTTATCCATGTTTGGGGAACATGAATATATTAATGGTGAGAACACTCTCTTTCCACTCCTTTTGACCCGGCTTTCATGCAAGTTTAGTTTGTTGTACCTTCCTGTCCTGGCTCTCTGGGTATTATTTTTCTCAGAGTTCTCCGGTTTCCCCTCCCCCATATAAACCCTCTCTACAAAAACCAATAGGTATTGACTTAAAAAATGTCTTTTAATAAATGTGATTTTTTCTTTTTCTATAGAATTAGCTGCGTTAATTACTTATTGGGTGTTACCTAATCAAACGCAACGCCGGTACACGTCAAGACTCTAACTTTGTAGATGACAGAAAATTCAAGTTCAAGTCCAAATACCATCACGCAAGTTTCGTAGCTTGAGAAATAGTTAAACTATGCAAAAAACCGTTGAAATGCGTGCTCTTTGATAAACGACGAGAGGGTAACTTCAAGCGACTATGAGCACGCCATCAATTATCCACTCGCTTGATTTCTCATGTGACGTTTCAGTTCCTCCACGCTGTACTAAAAGAAATTAAATATATGCTTTTTTTTGCTGGAATTTGACCTCCATTTGAAGTTTTAAATTAAGTTACAGTTGTCTCTTTTAAAAAATGAAACGAATCTCGTCCGAGGTCCGGAAGGAGTTTCCATCTCATAAGTTAAGGTGATTTGATACAGCATCAGATATCGAATTTACTTAAATAAAATGCTTTTATCCTCTTGTTATTGATACTCTCATGCATCGTTTATCTCTTTCTCTTGGATGATAAACATTCTTTGATAGTTTCCGCACCGAGATGAATTCTGTGGATCAGCATTTTTCATAACGAAACACTGCTGCTTGCCAGTTTCTGTTCGTTCTCTATCAACAATAGAAATATCTTTTGGATCAGGTCCAAATGCCCTTTTTTCCCAATCATTATTTTTTTTTATACCCAATACATGTTCAACTCGTATATCTTTTCTTTCTAATCAAAAAGTGCAAAACTTAAAAATACTTTTAAAAAATTCTTGCTCTGTTTTTCGTACCCTCAACTCACAGTCCTGTTATATTGTGACCAAATGGGCTGACCTCTATGTCTGAAATTCTCTGACCTCGGCATCCAGTAATCTGATAATATATTAAATTTTGCCAAAGTCAATTAGCAGATTCGAACAATGCTAAATTATTTACACATTGCTACCGGTAAGTGGGTGCTAGTCTGTTAGCTTTGTTTTTTTGATATGTTGAGCGTGCGTGCCGTAAAAATATTTGCTTCCTAACGCTTAAGATCAATGCCATTGAATTTTCCTGCCATTTTATAGGGTGAAGTCTATTCCCCTTTCAATGCTTCAACACGCTGTAGTCTTAGGTTTCTTCTAGAGTCCCTTTTTAGCGTCATAATTTCCCTTATTTATGTCTTGTAAAGAGAGATGTGTTTTGCAAAAACAGCCCAGTTTTGTTGAACGTTGTGGCTGTTCCTCGTGACTTATCGCGATTTCACACCAAATCTGAGAAAAATTATTCTGTCTTAATGTTTTCATTTAAATGGCTACACGTTAGAAGGTTACCCCTTATCTGCCGTGTTTTGAAAGTAATCATCGTGTCAATCAAAATTGGCAGGAACATTGCCCTTGAAATGTCCGGTGTAGACGCATTTGAGAATATATCTTTATCAACTCGGGTCGCAGTTGATTGTGCATTCTGATAAAATGACTGATTTTTTGACAGCCTGAGCGGAAAAGATCATCAGAGTCAAGTAGGGATAAATTTGTATACAACTGATCTTTTCTGTATGCCGGTGCTTGAAGTAGGGTATCCATGAAGATGAGAATGGTTTTGTTGATGAATGAATAACTTGAAACACCTGCATTTGAAACATGCGAGACCTTTCCTGCGCGTGAATAACCGGAGAAACACGGAAAGAAAGGGGTAGGTATTGTTACATCCAAACAACAGTTGATTAGCACTTTAAGTTTTCCGTTTGTTTTCCCTTTTAACGCCGTTTAGTTTAAGAATGTTGTCTTTTTTTTTCGCTCATGTGGAATGTGTGGGAGCAAAAGTTTTGCGCAATCTATTCGTATTAGTATTTAAAATAAGAATTGATTATTTCCTGTAGTTTTTAGTAGTTATTTTTACGCCGCTCGTGGATGCAGTAATTTGTAATCACAGCCGGTTAAAGTCGTGTCCAGTGCGATTAAAGTAACTCAGCAACCAATGTGTTATTCGTTAAGTCCATTATTTCCTTTTTCGCTGTGTTTTAAATTTTATGTTTGAAAACGTCTGTTTTATTCAAACTGCTTGAATAATTAATCGTTTCACAGAGTCGTTACCAGTGCAGAAGATCAAATTTGCAAATTTTAATTGCTGGAGGTTCAAAAAGAGCACAGGCTTATTTTCAAAAACATTGCTGATCGACTTTTGAAGGACTGTGTGTACACCAACCGAATTCAAATGTTTATATAACCCAAAGATTTCTTCTTTGTGAATTGACAGATTCTATAAGTAACAGTCACGCTTGCTTTCTGTTTATCTGTTTTTTTTCCCATAAGTTGACCACAAGTTACGAAAATCGAAAGTCACATAAATCGCGTCCGTCAACAACTCGAAATTCCACCACAGTAAACATAGCCGCTCTGGACTTTAGAATGCACATGTTCCCTTGACCGGTTCGACTGATAAGATACATTTTTAACACCTCAAGAAAATTGGTTAGCTTAGTGAATAACTCATTGAGGATCTTGTTGAATTTACAGGCAGGCCACCGAATTGGGTGCGACTGGCATGGCAGACCTATCGCAATAAAAAGGAATGTATGAGGGTTGCGAATTAATGACTGAAAAGTAAAATAAACACTCTATCTTTGTCTAGAAAACCTCGATAAAGCGAAACGAAGCATTAGAGCATTGAAGAGTAGCAATTTTTTGCTTCCGCTAGGCGTTTAAAACGTACAATTTTAGGGAATCGTTCTGGACTGCTTGTTTACTGTATGGAATATGAGACAAGGCTTGTGTTAAATGGTAGTTCAGTCTGATATTTTCTCAAATGACTAGTCACGATGGTTGACCTAAGGCACAAATAAACTAAGCGAACCACCGTTTGAGCTTAAAAAGTCTGTTTTGATGGAGCAGTAATTTTAAAGATGTAGTTTAATCTGCATCTGTTGCTTTGCATTTCCAATCCCTGTGCTTTCCTAGAAGCGATGTGTTGCCCAAGCTTCCTGTTATATTATCCATGATGAAGCTGCGATTTTGAAGAAGTGGTTTGATCTGCATCTGCAGCTACTTTGCATTCACAATCCCGTTGCGTTTCTATAAGTAATGCGTCGACCAAGCTTTCGGTTATATTGTCCGTGACACCAAAATGACAAAGAACCTCACCATGCCAGTTGCATAACTGATATGATGTGTCGTTTTCCGAAGGTGACGATTTTTTCTCACTACAAAACAGAAAAAAGATCTATCCTTTTTGGAACCAACACTGGCGTAGTGGCTAATACAAGGCAGACCTTTTTGCAGGTTTGTGTGTATTTTATATAGCGCTTACGTACTTGATCATTCAAGCTCTTGAAGATAGTTCCTTTGCTCTTAATAATAATGTATTGCGTTCAATTCTCCCTTACTAAATCATAGCAAGGACTTGCACAAATAATTGCCATTGCTCTGTGAATTTGTTATCCGCAATGGTTTTACCAGAATGACGACTCAGTTTCATTTGCTCATAAACGACATTCGCGTACCTAACACTGGTCAGACAAAGCAGAGCGCATTGCACCCGTGTTAAATGTATTTAACACGGGTGCACATGTCGGGGAAAAACTGAACAATAAACCTGATGGCTTCGAAGGATCAGTGTAGATATCTTCGCTAGATAACAGAAAAAATTAGCGATCAAGTCGCTTTCATCTGTTTTCTCCTAACATGGCAATGTACAATTTCTTGTTGCCATCAGATCCACATCAGTGCATGAAAGCTTTTATGGCTATACACGGCTCATCTTCAATATCAAAGGTTTCATCCGTCAATTCCCATGAAATACTTATATTCTTAAGAAAGGCTGATTTCGCTTCCAGTCAAAAGCTGTAGATCTATTGATACTACAGTTCAAAATGCTACAAATGGAAACAAATTCTTGCAGGAAAGGATTCTATTACGAATCTTTGGTCCTTGATATTGCCCGAGAAATTAAAAGGCAAATGAAACTTCTCATGACGATCCAAAGTTCTGGATTCAGTCACTGCAAAGAGTAGTTGTTCTCAAGGTTCGTCTGGGAAGGGACAACAGAACTCAAACAAATATGAATTTAACGTAACTTTGACCACAGGTTAAGTTTTAAATTGATCAGTAGCCCTTTTTTCTGTAAAATTGGTGGTTCCTCTTAGCTTCGTGTGGCCATCTATGCTTTTTTGTCTCTACGGCGGTCATGGGCTCATACTATTTTGCGAAACGAAACAAAACGAAACCAGGCGAGATATAACAAAACTGAAGGAATAATGCAAATACATCTATTAATATGGTAAAGATATCTTTCACAATGATTTTGGAGTTATCACTAATTAACAAGAAGGATTTTTATTCATTTCGCATAGTAGTAATTTCAAAAGAGTTACAATTTTGCGAAATCAACTAATAGTCCATTTCGCAAAATAGTATCTCTCCTAAAATTACTATTTGGCGAAATATATTTTAATACTGTTTACGAAACAAGAGGAGGCCAAAATCTTTGGTGATATACTAATTTGTAATGTTTAAATGTATTTTTGTGACATGAAAGAGGTCAAGTTGTCACCACAGGTTGAAAATAGTCGATTTCGCATAATAGTGACTCTTCTGAAATTACTAATTTGCGAAATAAATAAAAATCCTCCTTATCGACTGAAGATTACTTATATCTTTAATATAACTGCATTATTCCTTTAGTTCCGTTGTATCTCGCCTGGTTTCGTTTCGTTTCGCAAAATAGCATAAGCCGCTGTAATGTCGATTGAACGTGGCCATTGATATGCCATTGAGTACCTTATGTAATGAACGTGAGATAGACTTCCTTTGATAGCTAAGAGATTGTAGAAGGGTGGAAGGAATGTTTAAGATATGTCCTCATTAAATATAATCCCTCATGAGTATCCCTGCAATTCCCTATGATTGAGTACGGCGGCTGACACATGGGTGGCCGTCAGTATTACAATTACGAGGAATATAAAAATAGGACGTGTCGCAGTACAAAACATTCGGTCGCCAGTTTTACATCTTTGAAATTAATTCATTTAGATTTATCGCTACTTTATCACTGTCAGCGCGCCTAAGCTACAGTATATTAATTTTTTATGAAAAGAGTAATCTTGATCAGTGAAGGAGACGTTTCAAGAAAATGCAAGACTCCACTCGAATGTAATCAACTCGTTTTGTTTAATGCCTCTTTGATTCCAGAAATGTTCTATACAAAGGACATTGCTTCATGGGCTACATGTTTAACGTAAACCATCGCTTCCTAACAGTAAATATCAATCCCAAATGTAGAAACCATGACCAATCATATTGTTGCACTTAAGGTCTGTTTTGCATTTTTGTTTTCGTACACAAGCTTCTTTGTCCGCAGTATATCTGCTTCCGTTATTCTTCATCATCATGGATTTTACTGATACAAAACTAACCCTTGACGAAGCCGAGAAAAACGAAATGAACTGTTTCCGGAGGGATCAGTTGGTTGGGATTTGCAACACAGCACAACGAAGGTAATAGATGAAGAAAGAAATGGAACATTTATCGATAAGTTTTATCAAAGAGTAAAGGAGCGTAAGATACCTGAAAGCTTTAAATGTTACGCCATCATCAGTCATGCTCTTTTCACGTGCAACCGAGGTGGTCTGAGAACACTCGAGGGCATGATACCCTATGACGTCATAGAGAGGAAAACACGACAACAAGCCGGCCATGGGCGAATTCATGGGGGCGGTTCATAGGATAATCATTCATAGATCTAACTGAAATCATTGCTTTCACACAACGCTCTTCAGGTAGGAATACATATTAAATATTACCAATGGCTGCTTAGCCGTCTGTAGCATGGAACTCCTGATTCCCGGGTCAAATTCAAACAACTCCATTCTAATGACGGCTTCCGTTCAGGTTGTCGAGACGTGCATCACTTTCGGTGAGAACTGTCCACTTTAATACTCTCAAGCGGACGAAAAGACCACACCCTTAACTTTTACTACAGGTTCAAAACTATTTACTGACTCACAAAAAAATATTTATTAATGTAGCAAGCTCTTTTATGTTGTCAATATTTAAGTATTTCTACCAAAATGTACTGCTCTCTCTAAATTTTTGCGGATAAAAAAAAAAAGATCCTCAAATTCTGGAAACACCGAGGATTACAGAGCAGCCCAGGGACCCGCTTCTCGAAAGTTTCGGTAACCTAACGGGCCCGAAGGCATATCATGTTTCAAAATCAAAACTTAAAGAAAAGAGAAGATTCTGGCCCTTTAACCAGTCCATTTTGTTTCTCGACCTGATATTTTTACCCTATAATTTTCAAAACTTTTAAAACCCTCATCTTTACTCAAAACAACTAAGTAAGCGGGACCTTTGAGAAATGGGCCCTGGCCTGGATTCCGTCTGTTTAGAAGTTCTGACGCAAGAAAGCAAGACGGGATTGATACAAGCATACTTAGGAATAAAATTTTACCTTTTTCACTCAACTGTTAAAATCAACCTACAAAATCGTAACATGTCACTCTAACTAATGCATCTGGGCTTAATCTACGTAGCACCGTATGCTACGGCTTGGTCGATTGTGTATAATTTCGTTCAACAAATAAACTCTAAATTCCCCCATTTCGAGGAAATTAATTGGCAATGCTTTCAGTAACAACCACACTCCTGAACAATCGCATTGTCAAGGATGTGCCTCACAAAGCCAAGCTTTTCGTCGTAATAGATAAGAGACATCGGTCGAAGCTTAGTTGGCACACAGCATGCATTGTTATCAACACTGATACCTTTCTTTTCCTCCAAATACGCCTTGAGCAGCGAGTGAAGGCTGTATTTTCTCCACTGCTTGGGGGAGCACTTCCCCTTGCACTGATAGGCGTTGATTGTCTTAGGTTGGATGTACTTTGTTGGCAAGCCAAGCTCTGCTGTGTGGACGATCATATCCTCTTTTCGACAGCCATCAAAATCGCGGTCTTTGTCCTCTGATGTGGTATCATGTTTTGTTTTTGCTGTGGATCCTTTGATAGGAATTTTAATGTTGGTATCAGGAGATGCTGATAAAAGATAGAACTAATCATCATTTACAATGCAGACTTTCTTTGCTTTGATTAAAAACATTAAGTATATCTTTCCAGCAATGGTCTGAAATCAATTTAAGTAAGTTCAGCAGATAGTCCAATTCATCCGGAATGCTCTTGAGTACCACTCTCTCTTATCCATCCTACAATACGTTAAACATGGATGCCTTTTCCCTTTAGAACTAGTATATACCCCATACTGAGATCACATGCTATATTAATTTCATGATATGTTCAGTCGATCTAAAGATAGCTTACATTTTCCTCGAAGGGTTTGGGGTAAATTTGTTTCCTCGTGGCTGTAGTTTTCCTTGATGATCATGATACGATTCAATGAAAGGTTTTGCTTTTCATCATGAGATTCTGCAGCGGTTTTGTTTGTCTCTGGAAATGGAGACTCTTCGTTTTTCTCGGGATGCCCTTTTCCGATAACCATTGGGGCTACCAACGTGATAAGTAAGGCAAAAAAAGAGAACAGAAACAGATATATTTGTCTCATCGTGGTGTTGAAGGCGACCTTCGGAGATGTTGCTTTTGATGGGCTGTTGCACTTTAGCAAAGTAAAAATTCCTGTAATAGATGGTATTCCCGACATACCACCTGGCATTAGGCAGCAAAATCCACTAGATAAATTACACAATATCAGTTTACAAGTCCACCTGGTGAGCCTAACTCTCATTTTTAGTAAAAAATCATTCATCTGTCTACTTCTAGTGAAATACGTTATACGCCGAAATATTACAGGCTTCCAAGGTGATTGTGTCCATTTCTGAAGAAAGAAAATGCACACAATTTTGATAGACGTCAACATTATGTCGTCAGGCACAAAGTAAAATAGCTGATTAAGAGGGTACACTTTGTATTTTAGCTAGTGTTGCCAATACATCGGCAATTTTTTTTCAGTGACCGTCTTCTGGTGGATGGCTGGAGCTTTAAAAGCAAATAATTAATTCCTTTACTCGAAACAAAGCACCCCTTTATACCCGTATTCGTTTTCAGTTGGAATCGAGGCGTATTTCAAGCAAATTAACATACGGTTATTTGTCAAGTTTAGAGAGAAGGGCACGACAATATTAAATAATTGAAGATTGAAGTGAGCGTACCTGTTAGGCACTGGTACACTTTTGTGAGACAGAAACTGGGCTGGTTCCACTCAAAATCCAAATATCCTGTTCCTGTATACCACCTTTAAAGCTAATGTTTGCGTGGAAATTCTAAGCATACTGCATTAATGTTAAGGCCTTGTAAATAAAAAGTAAAGTACTACGCATATTTTGTTCGTCAAATTCAATTTTGTAGTCACTTCGAATAAAAGACAAGAAGAGGTTATATTTTTAGTTTTACATCTGAATTTTATGATGTTCTGCTGCTAGAACGATTCACAATGAATTTCCGTCGCGAAAACTAAATCGTTTCAATTATCTGAAAGAGTCAGATACGAGATGTTTTGGTGACACTCGCTCTTAACTGGCCCGAAGGCATATTATGTTTAAAAATCAAAAAGAGAAAGAAAAGAAAAGAAAGAAAAGAGAAGAAGGTTCTGGCCCTCTAACCATTCCATTTTGTTTCTTGACCTGATAGTTTTACTGTATAATTTTAAAAACTTTTGAAACCCTCATCTTGACTAAGAACAATATAGCTTTATGAGCCCGTTAACTTAGCGGGACCTTTGAGAGACGGGCCTCTGGCTTGAATTACGTCTGTTTCGAAGTTCTGACGCAAGAAAGCAAGATGGGATCGATACAGGTATTCCTAAATATAAAATTGTACCTTGGAAAAAGGTAACGTAGATCCTGATGTAAACGAATCGAGAAGTCTTGAGCATGTAAATAATATAAGCGCCTGCCCCCAGGAACACTTTTTATTGAACTGATAGGCTCTTAAACTATTTGGTTGACCGACTTTGCCGGGGCGGCAAGCAAAACTCTGAGATGTGATCAATCATGCCGCTAATTCTTCTTTTGACAGCTATTCCATTCAAGTTCAGAATTGTTTCTGTGTGGGCGAAAGTCGTTATCAATTGCGGCAGAGCAACCTTTAACCTGATACTTTTGTCGAGAAAGAAGATCTTGTCATAATTCCTTTTAAATACCCCGTTTTCTAAACTAGAAGGAACTGAAAAGATGATCTCTTCACAAGAGGCCATCTTTCTTTTATTGATGTCGAGCAGTTTTCCTTCCGAGATATCTATCATTTTCCCAGGAATCACACGATATAAAAGCCCAATAATATTCTTCTCTTCCTAATGAAAGTTCTGCCTAAGAATGCAATTATCCGTCTATACCTTGTCGCGGTTGATCGTCTAGATAAATTTCTTCGATCAGCAGACATTGAAAAATCATCTGTGGCCGAATCATCTTCCTTCATTCAACAGCTACCTTCTTGCTTATGTATTCAGAATGTCTCAATATCACGGTAACGATTTCAACACTCAAGTGCAATGATTTCCAACACTCGTGCACAATGTATTGCAAAAACTCGAGCAGATTGCATCACTGATAGGTATGAAGATGTAATAGGAATAAGATGTAAAATTAAACTAGCAACATAGTTTTTGTGAAGACTGAGAAAACAAGGTTAGAGAAGGTTACGATTTGAATTCACTGTTCAATCTAGATTTTTCATGATTTTTTGCAAGCTTGAAGATTCGCTAAGAAACAAAAGTGTGATAATCCCTTGCGAAAGCTTTGTATACTAATCACCATAGCACAGATTCCAACATAGTACAGGCTAAAACTTGGCACAGACTTCAACATAGCACATGCTTCAACTAGGCACAGGGCACAACTTTGCGTAGGCTTCAATCTAGCTCAGGCTACAGTTTAGCCGCACAGGCTACATATAAGCACAGGCTACAAGAATTGGTGATTTCTTGGCTTCCTTGATACTTCTGTTCATCGCCGCAGATTACATTGGTGACTTAGTAAGCTCCGTTCAAGCTGTAAGTCAGAATCTTTACCTTGGTGTCGGAGTGGGCTGGCAGCTGGCCAAAACTGGCCTTCTTATTGACTACACAGACACTATTCGAGAAAAAAAAAACATCAACAACAAAAATAATGGCAAGATGACTGGTTGTCTACGACATAATTTTCCTGGGCGTGACATTTTCAAGGAACAACATTCAGTTATTGCCAACCGATAAGTAACTGTGACAATCGGCATTAATATCTCTTTGAGATGCGATAAAACACCGTCATTTTAGATCAACCATATCAGTGACATAAAGGCTGAAATAACCTTTTTATTATTTTCAGCTTCATCAAAAAGTTAACACATTCTAAATGTAAGTGATGTTTTATGATAATGAGCCTATGAGAACTGGCTTATTTGTTGCAATATAATTAAAAATACGTTTGTTTGTTTGTTTTAATTTCTCTTAAGGTTGTGCCGTTCCTCTACATCGAAAATAAAGACTGACGAAAACCACTTTAATTACCAAGAGAACTATCCAGTTATATGTTCCAGAATTTGCTAATCAATTTTTATAATGATTTTTCGTCGATTCTATCAAATCAAGTTTAGGCGTGAACCTGTATGACACTAGTTAACTGTATTGAGTATAGCCTCTGTTTTTGATCCATGTTGACAGATCCCAGTGAAAATTGTTTGTCTTAACATAAAAGCTTCAGGGGTAATATTGTTCAACTTTACAAAGCTCTTCGCCGATTTTTTCTTTACAAATAATAAAACACGTGTTAAAAGATACACTGCAGTTTTGATTAGTTATTCTTCGATAAAAATACTGTTCATTCACCTTCTGTTGAACTTTGAATCGTCTCATTTAAATCTCAAATGTCCGCTTTTTTTTGTATATCTTCCTTCTCTCGTGAAAAGATGTAACAGACAACTTTATAAAATAAGCAAACGTTTTCAAAAATACTGCTACTTCTTTTGAAATTAATTCGAAATGCGGATTCGCAGATGGCAATTATCGCGCTGTTAGTATAAACAAGATTCTCGTGGCAATCCACATGTTGTCTTACTTCCTATGACCGTTCAATGTGTTTGCTCATGCACGCAAACGCAATGAGAGGCGTGTAAAAGCACAGCAGGGATGCGCGTTGCGCGAAACTTTCTTAATCAACACGCTGTTTTAGCAATGTTGGTGGGTCATCAACTTTTATTCAATGTTACTGACCCCTTTCTTTCATTGGGAGCAAAAATTCATTAGGAAAGCAATTAACGCTAAAACGTCCTTAGGGGTTAATTCTCTTGCAAGCATTATTCCCATAGTATTCATTCTCTTCGCAATTAAAGGGCTGTTGTTCAGTTCCTTAAAGAACATAAAATGGGTCAGTCTCTTTAGAAATCTTTAAAAAGAAAGTAGCTATAACATTTATAAGCAACTCCCGACTCTTGTTTGGTCAATTGAGCGCTTCAAAGAACGCTCTCACAATACCTCACCGGTGTGACCGTCGAACAGATTTTTCTAAAACTTTGTCATTTTGGCAAATTCATATGCAAATTTTTCTGACACGTTGTTTACGAGTCAAAGATTGACTCATGCAATTTTTCATAAATATTGGAACAAGACTCTTAATATTCTTATGAAAGCCCAAAATAAAATGTTTCTTTCTCTTTATTTGACGGCTTAAAGCAAATATACATCCATATAGATTCTTTAGCAAAAAGATACTTTTTCATAGGATTATAGTTGAATCTAAATTAGCTATTCATTTAGACACCACCAGTTATTCACAATTTCAAAGGAAATTAATGAAAGTAAAGGGCGTCATGGTGGGTTGCTTTTCCGCTTATGGTCTCTGTGATTGCTTCGTTGTCTAGCTCGCGATGGCCTAAATAGGAACAAATTATCTTTAAAATTTGTCATATTGTTTGGGTCATCTAGATCGTAAAAAGAAGAAATTTTGGCTCAGTAAATGTTAAATTTCGTGGCTTGACATCAGGTTTGAACTTTAAAATCTAATGGTAGATGAATAATTTGAACGCGACCTTTTGGCGAAGATCCTACGAGAATACTGTCTGTGGTTTTTTTCTCCACAGTCTATGGGTTCTTGATAAACAAAGAAGATGAAAATCGCAATTCCGGTCGGCAAATTCAATGGCGTTTTTTTAATTAAAAGATCGTGGATTAACGTTATTGACAGAACTGGTAGCTTATACACGATGAACGTACTCAACTTAGTGGGAGGAGATTGATGTTGTGCCCGAGGGACCAAAATCAAGCAAAGAAAAAAGCCCGCCACTATCATTAAAAGCTTTTTAAACTTTATATACATCTTTCCCTAAGTAAATTGACAATTTTGAAGTCATTTGAATAAAGCTAAAAAAATACGAACGAATGTTCGGTTGTTAATACAGCTAGTGACGTTGTTAGGAAGCTGTTACCCTAATTAAAGTTAGGAGGCAGAGAAGACATTGATCCAAATAAGATGAAAGGAAACTAAAAAACGTCTCATACAAATTAATTTTTTGCTAAGAATGCATAGTTTATCAATTCCAGTAGCTTTGGAATTCAATAACCTGAACTAAGTACTGAAAAAAACACTCATTCTTTAACGTTATTCACACAAAAAAAGCTGTCACTTTGTTTTGACAACTTGGTTCAATGTGTTTCTATAAGTCTCTCTGCGTGCGGCACAGAAAAATAAGAATTGTTTCTATTTGGCCAAGTTTTCCGGACTCGTGTCGAGAAAGGAATGATTTTAAACTAGCGTAGTTCAGTAGGTTGTAAACAACATGTGGCTGGGATCCAGTGGACGGGACACAAGCGTTCTCTTTCTTCTGTTTTGCAGTCTTAGTTAAAGAAAGAATACTAAGTGACCTGTCCAGAAGAAATTAAACTGTCGTTAGAAAAATCTTTAGTTTTCGTATTCAGCTGTTTCCTGTTTTGTCCGCCAAGACAGGTGTAACTTCACACAATAGTTTGAAAAATGTCGCACTCGCGGCGAACCCAACCAAGCTTAAAGATCATTCGTCCTCGAACCGTGTGTCTCACTTTACTGCCATACAATAAACCGAACTTCTTTTCAATCCACCGTGACTAACTATCCACAGATATGGTTCTCTAACAGAGGCATTGATTTTTATTGCACTCTGTACTCTAGTGCTCAACCTCATCATTCATGCGCTTGAGGGCAAATGCAAATTCTCCAAGAAAATAAAATAAGCCGAAACACGACGGCAGGTTGTTCTGTGACCTTCACTGTCTGCTTATTTTACATTCATTAACAAGGGGCTTCGACATAAACCACTACTCGTTATTTCATTAGTTTTATAATGTTTAAAAAACATTTGTCGCCAAGCTAAACTGACTTGAGGTGGGTTTTTTAAATATTTCCTTCCCAGATGCTCGTTAGTGTTCACTCGAGCATTTATCTTACACTTTCCCGTGTGCTACCGCTGTAATTTTCGTTGCTAATGGCTATTTCAGTCTCCCGTTTTATCACTAATGTTTTCTTTTACGATGTATTTAATGTCAAAAAGCAAAAAAGCTTTGTGCAGAGTCTTACGAGACAAAAAATTAAAGAATAAACTTGAGAAGAACGCTTTGTTTCACCCGCTTTCTTGCATAGGCGCCATTTTAGTCAAACAAATAAGTGTTTATACGCACCACAAGAAGTTACATTATCAAAGTTTTACTCACAAAGAAAAAAACAGTGTTAAGTTTGAGGCTGAGCGATTCCTTTGAATTTACTTTTGAAAACTTTTACAATGTGTTGTTCAAAAGGTATAACCCTTTTATTGTATAGTTTTTATAGCTTCTTGTACTGGCAGCGAGTAATTTCGCCATTAAATTTGACTTGAATAGCCTCATAACAAAAGGGTAGACATATCAAAGTTGGAATTCAATGCGCCTTAGACATTGAAGGTTGCTTTCCTTTATCGTGGTTTTCGTCGAAAATGCTAAATCACTGGACGGTGGTTTAGGAATAGTTGAGCTTTTCCTTAAATTATCAATAATTAACCACAAAATTTAGGGCTCCTATTTTTAAGAAACCGAGACGTTTTTGGCAGAATATCAGTGTTGCCTGTGGATACCAAGTCTACAAAGTTCTTGCCCTTGAAGTAAACGCTTCTTTTCTCTTATTTAATGAAACATAATCACTGTAGTGTTATTAGTTATTTTGCATCATAGTATTTGACCTTGTACAGGTAACTAAGAATCGTTCGCAAACAATTCACGCAAAAAGCATAACAGAATATTCATACTTTATTACTACGATAACGCTCAAACGAGTTTCGCGTCAGCGTGCATTAGCTCACATGAAGAATTAAATTTTCACTCGTGCATGATCAGTGGCGAGGTAAAGAGCGCAAGATAAGACCAGTAGAATGAGAAAAATTTGTCAACTTTAGAACATGACTACATGTACCCGCCATCTTAGATTTAGGTGTGAAAACCTTGAATAAATACCTCAAACAAAGAAAAATTCTCTCGATTATCGCAGATGTTGCTTCTACGAGAGTGTAAACTGTAAATCAGTTAGATAAGAAAATAAATGATCCAAATAATTTTCCGTTAAATTGAATAGACTGAACTCCGGTTTTATTTTTCATTTGTTATCTTGTGCCAAGTGTCTCCTAGCGGTCTTCTGTGAATCATCCATGAAGTTCATATTCACCATATACAGATCGCAGATCCACAGATATAATCCTATAAACTTGTGCTGTTTACAATCGTTCCTTACAAAAGAGTAAATATAAACTTAGCTAGTAATTGAATGTCAAGTGTTGGAAAATTCTATTTGACACATGAATTGGAAGATAAGCTGTCTTTTTGTATCGTTAGATACACAAAGTAATAATAAGGCGCGTTAATCAAACCTATACATGTCGTTGAGTGTACAGTTGCGGGTATGGTGGGCTGGTCTCTGTTACTTGCTGAGAATGAATGTTTTGTGCCGCCGAGGAAAATGCTGAAACGGCACTTGTTGTGGGTCCTGGTTCCATATTGCTGGTGTAGAGATGACTGGCCGTGTGTCCATGAGGGCCTGTTGGAGAAACCATCATTTCAGTGGGACGGACTGGATAGGGTAAATCGTGCACGCTGTTAGCATGACTCGCAGCCGGTGGGAAGGCGTGAGTTTGTCTTTGAGCATGTACTGCAGCCATATCATACATTGGGTAAGTAGCGTGTTGAGCTGCCATCTGATAATGATACTGCGGATACATGCTATCGGGTGCCATCGATGGTGGATACGCCGTTAATTTCATGGCGGCAGGATGGACTGCAGGCTCTGTTCCTGGGTAGGGAAACGAATATGTCGTTTTCTTCATTATCTGCTTCTGTTTCCTTCGTCTTGGTTTGTATTTATAATCAGGGTGTTCTTGACTGTGTTTCTCTTGTAGTCGTTTGGCCTCCTCTTGGTAAATTCGCTTGTCTTGGTCCTTCATTAGTTTCCACTGCGCTCCCAAAACTTTGCTGATCTCCGAGTTGTGCATCTTCGGATTCTCTTTGGCCATGGCTTTTCGTTTCTCTTTTGACCAAACCATAAAGGCATTCATGGGTCTCTTTATGTGATTTGGATCCGTCTTGCTCATTATTATCTTGTCTCTACGTCAAAACTTTGTAAGTGTGTTATCCCTCTTGTGTATCCAGTGAGTAGCAAGCCGTGTCAACTGCTCTGTCCTTCAGTTCAAAGCCATAGTTTCGTGTGCAATATTCGACAAAGCTATTTACATTTCTGGCGTTGCATGTGAACAATGGGTTTTTTAGAAATCTTTAATTACCATAATCATTCCAAACATCAAAAGGACAAAACACAATAGAGCAAGTATTCAACATATTTACTTGAATAATTAATTATTTCAGAGATCCTTTGCTATTGCTCTTTCCAATCACTGTTATCATTTTAGTGTCCATCTTCAATTCTAAAGCTTTTGTGGATTGTACAATGTCAAGCGACGAGTAAAAGTCTGATTTCAAGTGAAAAATGTCGCTGCTTGTTAAACCTCATTTTCATTAGAACACAGCTGGGCATCCGTGAGATTAATCATTTCAAAGTTAATAACATGTTTGCTTTAATATTTATGCCCAATTTAAGCGAATATTGCCATAAGTATATTTCCAAACTGGTACAGAAACAATGGTGATTTTCATTGCATTGTTGCTCTTTGGCGGGATTAAAGAGAATTTAATTAATCTATACATTCTACGACGTCGAGGTAAAAAATAAGGTTAAAAGGATCCAACAGCGGGCAATTAAATTGAAGGTCTGGCTAGTAATTCATATTCATGATAAACACAGCGTTCTTGAAAAGTTTTCTGACAGTTTTATTGTCATGCAGATGAATCAATTTACAACAAGCCTAGAGGCCTTTTGAAGTTGCGTACACAGATCCGTTATAGATAAGCGAGATCAACCGTGAATGTTTGATGACTACTCAGTTGCTGGCAAATATTGAATTTAACCACTCGAGTGGTATTAACCACTAGTTAGTTACTTCATACTAAGTCATAGCCATACAAATTTAAATATCAATTTAACAAGCCGGCCACACAATGGACAGACAATATAATCCTTCATATTCCACTTGACCTAATTTTTGTTTAACTTCTTTAAAGATGTTCCGTCGAGATTTTCAGAAATCAGAGATAAAAATTGAAAAAAGGGCTCGTAAAACGCCAGAAACGGCGTCTACAAAGTTATCGTTTCGAAGGTCAGATAGCGACCGCTTAAACTCTCTTAACGGAATTTTACATGATAGAAGATCCAGAACAATAGGATGATTGGCTTTGTGTCTTTTTATATTTCGGTGGTGTTTGGACATGATCTAAGTTCCATAATTAGAAGAAATGAAGAAGGAAAACTCACTCAACTCTTGAAACTTGCTAATTGCCAGGCTTTCAAAAACTCGTCACTTTATGGCGTTAATTAACAAAGAAAACTTGCCAAACATCTCAACGGAAACCACCCAAACAGCATCAGGAAACGCGCGCAAATATTGTTCTTTTGTCCAAATTTAATAGAAAGAAATACACACTGTCCTACTCACTACGAGAATAAGTGAAAAAAGACAATATTGAATTACTAATGAAAAAGATAGAAACACGAAATTAAACCAGCTTCGACCTTTCCCATAATTTGAGGGAGAATGGGAAACACGAGCCATAGAAGGCCCCGATTCACGCTGGTTTCCGTTCTCCCCATTGAAATAAGTTAATAAACAGACAGGCAATATTTTGGTCCTTTTTTATCGTCCATATACTAATGCTATCAACCATTTATATACAGATTCAAGCTATGCAGAGCCGGTCGCCCTTTCGAATATAGATCCGATTTCCTGACTCACTCTTTGAGTCAAACAAAGCTACCTTTTCCTTTTCTCTTCGATATTGATATGCTTGTTGGTTAGTGTAGTTTTATTTTTGATGTGCAGGGCATCCTCTTGACCTTTTCTTAGCTATACGTAGACATGTAAGAATCGCCAACTATTTTCTCGTCAGCATTATCTTTCACTCTTTTTTTTTCAGCTCGCATCTCGCGGATCCGTAAAGCTTTGTCCGGCCCTTCTCGCGCCACCGTGCACGGTCATCTTACGGGGCGGCATGGGTCTTATGATAAATGTTCGATTCCATAATCAGCATAAAATCACTTAAAAAAAAAAATAGATCAGGAAAACAGATTCCGATATGATCGGTCATTTATCAGGTGTCTTCATCTCTAGCACTTTCGTTAATTAAAAGAAAAAAATACTCCTTAAAAGAGACAAAGGAAACATATTTTCGCTTACAGATAGCTTTGGAAAATACACGAGACTTTTCTTAAAGAGTGATCTAAGGCACGTTGGCTAACGTCAAGTATTTATTTGGAACGTGGTCAGAAAAGCTTCTTTCTTTTGTCATAAGGTCTAATAATTGTATTTTGGCACTCATGGCCGACACTATATTATTGAGTTTGTCTACTGGGTTACGTACTGAAACCTAAGACAGCCATTAAGCCAGTCAGTCAATTAGTTCGACAGTGAGCAAGTCAAACTGTCAGACAGTCGGTTAGTTCGTCAGGCAGTGAGCAAGTCAAAAAGTCAGTTGGTCAGTCAGTCGGTTACTTAGTCATGCAGTCAGTTAGTCAGACCGTTAGCCATACAGTCCGTCAGCCACTCAGTCATTTAATCAGTTAGCCTGCCAGCCTACAATTGCGTCAGTCAGTCGTTCATTCAGTTTGTAACGCAGTCTGTCAGTCAGTCACTCATGCAGCATTCGTCTAGTTAATTAGTCAGACAGTGAGCCATACAGTCAGTCAGTCAGTTATTCATGCAGTCAATCAACTAGCCAGCCAACTAGCCATTCAGTTGGTCGTACATTTTGTCAGTCAGTCAGTCAGTCGGTCAATCAGACAGTCAATCAGGGACAAGTATGAATAACATCAGTCTCTTTTTCATCACAAGATATAGAATCACTTCTGTAATATTTTGTAGGAATCAACAATTTCAAAAATATAAAAACGAAGGATAACAAGCCTAATATTGTAAAGGCGTTTGAGAACTCTGAAGATTCACAACGCTATATTCCATTTGAACATAAGACTACTTACACAATAATCCTTTAAACGGAACTTTTAGGGATTTATTTCTAAAACAATACTCAGTGTCCTTTTTCTTGAGAATAAACTCTATAAGAGGACGAAGCTCTATCTAACTGCACAATCATTTTGTAAATTTTCCTTGCCTGAATTTCTCGAGAAGTTTTGAACATTTATGTCCTATGGTATTTTTCTAGAACGCACTGAATCGTGGTAAGAAGAGCTTTAAAGACACCATACACTGAAACACTGTACGTGACGCCAGGAATAATTAAACTGCTTATAGTCTTCCTTATTACTTAGCATGGCAACGATCTAAGAATAAAACAAAGCACTCATTTGACCAAATAAGTTTGCAATGAACATGAAACGTGACCTTGCCATCTTCATAAAAATTATGGCATAAAATATAGAGAGAGGTATTCTGCGGAATAAAACCTATTTAAGGAATAGTTTAGCGTAACCTGCCTTCTGAATGGAAATCTCCTTGCACGTGCAAAGTTCGCTGGACCACCCTAGAAACTGTACCACACGACGATCCGAACTGTCTATTCCATTGCACTCGAGGGGCATAGTGCTATATCAACCACAATTCAACAACACCGAGTCTTTCGCGGAGCTGATCTCGAACTCGTTGAGAAAAAGCACTAGATAAACGCGGCAACTGACCCTGCCTAAGGTGGTGACATAATTTTCATGTTGCTATAGATGTATGAAACCATTACTTACAAATCTCCGCTGTCTACCTGTCAGAAAGCCGAGTTAAGCGATTCACTAAAAGTAAGTTTCTTTGACGTGACTGCCAGTCTAACGTCTTACGCAGTCGAATCATATACAACAGGAGGACAAACCCAACTGACATTGACGAGCCACCTTTAATGATTCCCTGATAATCGTCCACTATTTGTCTCGATCATACACTGCCCTCTGGGATCTGACCCACAACGTACCAGTCCAGTGCCGAATATCTTCCTCCCACCTCATTTTTTTGCCAGTCTCCTATCTCCGTCTTGGTAATGCGCTATGTGCGTTGCCTTTTTGTAAAGCCAATTAATCTCAGAATACGAATGGGTACCCACCAACTATCAGCGAGGGACTGGGCTGATAAAATGTTGGAGGAAAACTGGTAATGAAACCGTCGTCGAGCTTTTCTTCGAGCACGCAAACCAGGTATGATCGAAAAAGTAAATTCGTAATGAACTATCGTCGCTAACCCTGAGTACTGGTACGAATCATAGTGCTTTGCAGTCTTCTACCTCTCAGTGCCTTTCCCAACTCAGGAATAACAAAGTGTAGCAGCAAGGTGCTGGGACGGTAAGTTTCACCAGCTATGGACCAAAATCTTTTTCAGAAAAGAAAAACTAATATTCCTAATCGCCTCATGTAACGTTGAATGCGACCGTACAAAGTGGCGGAATTTTGCATGAACATACTTTTGATGCAAATTGAAAACATGTACCTTTTCTATTAATTTCCTGTCCTGTCCCAGGCCGGTCAATCGACTGGTGTAAAGACTCACATTCAACCTTGTCCTCCTTTTGTCACAAGTTTGGCATCGAAAAGATCTGTTCATTGATCACTCTGCATTTTACACCACATTGCTCTTTTACTGCATTACTTAACAACTGTACAACAGTAAGCAAATGCAGTCATAGACTATCTATAAGACGCTGTACTTAATTCAATATAGCTTCTATTGAGCAGTATTTCCATTCGTGCCATCTTTAAAACCTGATCTTCGAGGAAGAATGCGAAAGAAGACTTTTTCAAATAAAGATCCACAACACTCATATACCGTTTGCTAAGAAAAACTGGCAAAATTAAGAAGAAGCCATCAGTTACCAAGAACTAATAACGAACCCTTTAGAATGGTCTAGTCGTAGTCAGGTATTATCCTTTTTCTTTGTAAAATAACAATTACGCGTAAACTTTGTTATATGGCAAAGTATTCTTGAAATAAATCTGAGTGTTCTCATTAATTCTTACTTGGTCAGGATTATGCCATACGGAACGTTTCCGTGGAAACGGTCATAGGCCGTGTATTTCTGTTCACAAATTCATTATAAACAAGTTTGGTCCAAGTGTCTTACAATAAACCACTTAAACTACCACGACCTCGGGCCAATATTCCTCAGTATGGCCCTCACGCTCGAATAGTAAGGACTAAATTTTGGCTATTGAATGGAACGCAGATACTTTTGAGAGTTTACAGTCATCACCAGGAATGTAGGAATCGAGAAATGATTGAGAGAAAAGAGTTGGCTCGTAAAGAAACAATAAGAAAATTCATGAGCCTGAAAAGTGTGAGGACATTTTAAAGAAAAAGAAAGATATTTCCTGTTGTAAAGAGGCATCACCAATTACTGAGGTAATAGGGAAGACAAGAATCTATTCTTGTTATCTCAATATTCGTCTAGGAGACGGAGGTAAGGTCGGGAGGTGCTTATTTTAGGGGGCATTTATTCTAAACCTTTTTGTCGATGGAGGAAGCACTCTATTGGAGGAGGCACTTAATCGAGGGTAGTCAATTACTAAATAGAAATTTAAGTTCCGTGCGATTTAGTTCTCTTGCTTCTATTTCCATAAGATTCTATTTACCTATAGTTCAGTTTTTGTAGATTTCTTCTCGGACAAATTTGTCAAACTTAAAAACTTAAAGAGGAAATATTACGGAGAGGATTCGCGGTTTTTAATTCATTATTGTGATGGTAGAGTCACGAACACGAGATCAAGGAATAATATTATCATTAGATATGGCTCAAAGTGTCGGTTTAAACTTTCCATAAAAATAAAAAAACACTTTATTTCAACTGGATTGACGTTTGCACCTAAACTTAATGGATGGCTTGAAACGTTTTTCTTGAGTCGCCCTAGAATTAATGTGTTTATAGTGTGGTTTAACTGTCACCTTGTGTCTCATTTTAACTATCCTGTTTCATAAATCATATCAGACTCTTATGCAATGTTTCAGCTGAATATCATAAACTTTAGCCTTGTATGGTATTTGCATAAAAGTTAATCTCTAACAGACGGCTTGGCAAAATATTCTTATTTCAGATTTCATTAGATAAAAGGTTGTATTTTTGTTAGTCTGAATTGTGTGCCATAAGTCCAACTCCGTAATTGTTTTCTAAACGATGACTCATGAGCTATTTGAGATACAGAGGAAGGAAGGAACGCACTACCCACCCATTCCATCCCCCTCTTGACACCATCCATCATTTGAGAGGCTTGGACATGACAAAAGTTGTCGCTAATGAATCACCCAGACGTGACCTTTGTGTCCTGCCCACAACTTCCCACATCAAGCTGGTGATAGGAATCACCCGATGGAAAAAAGCTACCTTCGTTCCGCCGCACCACAGCTCACTGACTTGTAACTGATCAAGACACTTTCATTGGCCATTTGGAAAATGCTTAAAAAATTATCTGAATCAAGTTAGCACAGGGCGCGCAGAAATCAGATTCCACGATCTCTTTGTTGCTTATTCTCATCTCTTCCCAAAATTTTCTCCACGCTCTCCCACAACTGGAAAACACTTTTTGGAATTAAACGGCGACCAAATATTGGTACGTTTTTAAAAATTGAGGATATTTCATGTCAGCGCAGAGATGCGAATTTCATTCTTACGAACTGTTGGTATCTCCATGGACGACATGTAATGCTTGTACGACTTGTAAAGTATATGTTTCCTGAGATAGTTCACCTCTCAACGTGACGAATCAAATTTTTTGAAAGAATATTTATTGAGCGGAACCATCACCCCTACGAACATGACTACTTCAAACAAAAAGATAGAACACTTTCCCCTAACTTAAACGTAAGTCCGTATGGAAAATATAGACAGTATAGGTTATCAAAGGCTTCCAAACTATTCATACTAGCCGAAAAAAAGATATGTTACATAAGGTTTATACCTTTGATAGATGCATGCTGATGGAGGCCAACGTTGCTGTGAAATCATTTTCCCTTTGTAAATTAATAACGCTTCGTTAGAAGAAAAAAAATAATATTTATTCTTCAGATAAGCATTCAAATTTGTGTTCAATTTCGTTTACTTTTATATTCTGTATTCAGATCACACTTGATTGCCAGCAATTGATTCAATTGTTCTGTTTGTGCTCATACAAGAAACTAACTAATAATTTTAAAATTTGGTAGCCAAGAATTGCATGAGGCGTATTTCCTTGTTTTCCTCTTGGGGGTGAAATAGAGATGGACGATCTGTCGTTTGATGATAGAGTGCACCTCAAAAATGGACGCATTAAAATCATCTCTGTTTAAAGAAACATAGAGGCCAGTTTAGATCATTTCAGAGATATTGCTCTTTTATCGAATTAATAAGGCTCATTCTAAGTTTTTTTTTGGGAAATAATTCACTTAAGTTAGGCAAAAATAAAACCTTAAATTAAATAATATTTAAGTAAGACTTCGAGAACTTCTGCTTTGAGTGGGCAATTATTTCGCAATCAATATTGATCTGTCATATTTATGAACCGTCAAATAAAAGCTCCACAGTTTCTATTTTCCTCGCCATCTATTTGAAGATTTATTGTCAATATTTTCGTTATCAGCTCATATCAAAAGTTTCTTAAGATGAACAACTGAGTGATGATCAAATGCACAGTGAATAAATTTTAATATTTCCGTGAATTTGAATTAACATTGCACCGTCGGTTGTCGAAGGAAACATGGAAGCGTTGTCGCACTTCTCCGACAAACCATGGCAAACAGTTGACATTCGATATTCAAATACAATACGGTAATGATGCCATTAATATTTCTGCCAGTCACATCGCTGCTTAACTGGTCGATATTGTTTTCTTTGTAAATCACGTACGCTGATTGGCTGCTCACGACAGGAAATTTACAATCGCGCCAAGATCGAGCGGGTGGCTAAAAACGAACCACTCACGACAGCTGTGTGTGTCTAAGTGACGATTCACTAGAATAATTACTCTACCGCAAAACGCGCAGCCTGTAGGTAAGAGGAAAAAAAAATGACTCACCAAGGTTTGAAATAACACAGAATTTTCGCGATAAAGCGCTCCACACTGGGAACTTTGAAGGCTCCTATGGGATAATCTTGCGTTATGGCTGAATTAGAGGATGTGATTCCCCGTGACTTGTTCGGTGCGGTAGACTTAGATGGAAGCGGGTACATCGACCGAGAGGAATTAGCCGCAGTCTGCGATTTGGACGCTCACGATTTGGCGGAAGTTTTTGATAGGCTTGATGCAGACAAGGATGGAAGAATAAGCATCGAGGAATTCTCAGAAAATTTTAAAAAGTTCAAGTCTGTGGTGACGGGCGTAAAAAGGAGAAAATCTGAGCGATCTTCATCAGTTGATGTTGACTACGAGGACCTAACAGACCGACTGGGACAGCAGTTTAGTCTACTAAGTGGGTAAGTGAATTCTTTATAGAAAATCGTGAGGAAGCTTGCCTAGGCCTGAGAAGGAAAAGTTACGTTGACTTACGTTATTGCCAGAAAGAAATATATACACCCAGAAATCAACCCGCTACTCACGCATGATTGATTTTTTTAATTTCACCGACTGTATTTCTGTAATACCCCGTTAAAACTCGCTAATTACGTATAGTATCAGTACAAATCGTTTGCTTTTACCATCAAGCCACGCTTCGAATAACAGTGACAACTCTTCGACAATATCTACGTGAAGTTTTTGATTCGACTCGCGTGCGAACACAATCATTAGTCGTGCATCCACTTGAGACCTTAAAAAGCAACTTGAGTAATTTTCATGGAGATATCCAGTTCTCAAGGCGGGGTAAAACACCCGACTCGCTAATTCTTTTGAAAAATCGACAAGAACTCATGAAGGATGCAGCTTAATACTAGAATAAAATTGAGCAATTTATATACGATTCATCTATGATATTGCTAGTTTATCTGGCGCTGAACAGCAAAACAGTCTCAATTACAAAATTACTGGCATTTGCGTGATTTTGCCCGCAAGGACAGTAGTCCTTCTCTGTTCTTTTACACCAAAATGAACCACACTCTGCATGCAGGTGAGTTTTACGGCATTTATCACAACCTTTTTAACCCATGCGTGAGGTACTTGAATTCTAATTTGCAGAATGTATCAAGTCTAGATAAGTTAACTTGTTTTTATATTGTTAGTAAAAGTCAAATCAGGTCGTATATAACATGGAATGTCACAAACGAATATCAACTGAATTTGTTAACAACATTTTCGACAAATTATTTTCGACGAAACAAATATAACACTATCGTTTTAAACGTCTGGCGCTGATTCGCTTCTAAGTTGACTTTGTTGATCCACACAATTTATTTCATAAGTTTAGTTAATCGTCACAGTGCCAGAGAGCAAGGGATGTTTCCTAACAGAGAGTATTTCAATCTTTTTACAAAATGAATAACACGCACAAATAACGAGTTTTATGGCCCAAAAATTGATCACTAAAATATCAGCACGGGATATCACGTCCTATAAAATCAAATTTTAGGACAGCAGAAGCCCCCAAAACATCTAGGACTTCGCTTTAATTAAAGAGGAGAATCAAAACTACTTCTTTTAAAAAAGAGAATTACAACGAAGCTTCAAGCCGCTCCGAATCTTGATCGCAAATGGTACACCTATCGTACATTTTAGAAAATATGAAAGATCTAAAAATTGTAAATTATTTTTAGCCCTCACTTTATCTCTGTCGAATGTATTTATTATTCATACTCTCTCCCCCGAAAAAACAAACATTATTCAAATGACATTGGATAAATTTCACTCGGTTTCTGAATTTCATATCATTAGAAAAATATTCCTCTCTCTGTTGTTCTTTTCGTTTTTCGAAGCTTGACTTTCGATGCTCGGGTTTCGTTTAAGCTATCGTAATATCTAAGGCCAACCAACAAGTAATAACTTCCCTTTCAATCTCTTTCACTCCATATTATTTGTTGATCCATTAGTATGGATGTTTTCCCAACAGTTTTGTAGCGTGGAAACAGATTGAAAAATTCAACTCGACTCGAAAGTCACCAATGTTCCGGATGTCTTCGCCGCTGGAAGAGATCCCTCCAACTTCATATCTCCATGAAATTATTCAAACCTGAACTCTTTCCATTAAAATTTTAATATAAAAATCAAATCGATACTAAAGTCTGGTTTCTAAGAAAACGCTCTATTTTGGAAAGAATGCGAAAACCAAAAGGTGATTTTTGAGCGCAGGTAGGAGGTAAGAAACCCGCATGGAGCAGTGTTAGTTCAACAAAATTTGTATTTGCTAGTTATAACCTAGACACCTTTTTTTAGTATACGCAAAAAGAAAAAAGAAAAACAAAAACGTTCGTTTTTCTTGATACCTAACGTGTCCTTAACTCATTTATACCTCTTGGCCTAGCATAAGTTGACAACTAGAACAATGCACCTTCAAATAATCGGACACCTTTGGGTTAAAATGCACCTTAATCTGCAATTTTTATCGTCAAGGTCATCCTGTTTCTCAACGACTACTTCAACTAACTAAGGCTCTAAATTTCTCTCTTACAAATTCTCTGCGAGAAGATCTTTCTTCTGTCACCTTCAGTTTTAAATTAAAAGGGAAATTTCACTGGATGGATGCTCTTTTCAAAAATAAACCGGCGGTCTATATGCAAAGGTGCTGATTACAAAGTGTTGCACTAATCAAAACCAGAGTCTTAAACAGATATACGCCAAACGATCAAAGTGAATTTATCTTGCAGATCCGAGCCATTATAAAGATCAAAATTTTCTCTTTCTCTTCAAAGAGACAAATGAAAACAAAGTTCATAAAGTGTCAATTTTTCGAATAATAACAAGAAGGTACTCTTGATGAAAAAATTGATGTGTAATTGTCGCGCTGCAGCATTTGCTTAAGCAATATTTTTACGGTTTTATACGTTATTTAGAATAGCGTCACTTCAAAATTTATACTCTAAGTTAAAAGGAAATTCTGGCAAAATAGATTCAAAAAAAAAAAAAAGGAATTGTATCAGTGTAGCTCTAGAGTCTTGAATTCAATAATTTATCTTAGCAGGTGCCAACTACTTAACGAACACAAATGACACAAGGCCGCCAATAAGCAAATACGCAATTAAAAAAAGGCAAAGTTAGTTTGTTTTCTATAAAAAAAAACGTCGAGAACGGACAGTTTTTGAGTTGCACATCAGGCAGCTGGTTGCTGGGAGTTTTAACTCACGAAAAGTAATCATTCTTTTCTCGCCATAAAATCAGTTTATATTTTATATTACGAAACACCCACTCGCACAAGAGACAATCGATGGCTTTTCATCTATAATCAGCAGCAATGTCTTCACCGTTTTACACCCCAACATCAGTATCCATCTTCTCCATACTTTTCTCTACACATTTCCTTTGGTTCTAACAAGGAGAATTCGTTCATCAATCAAAGCATCTTTGATTGGTGATCATTTTTTTTCAACTCGTGATCTTAATGAATGATTCAGCTGTATTACAGTAGGGAGAAATTAGATGCTGGTCACTCTTAAAGTTTAAAGGCTTCAAAGATGTGTGCTCTTAGTGCGAATGATAAGTTAGAATGACTGAAATTTCTCTCCCCGTGAAAAAGTTGTTTAAAATAAAAAAATTTCACGCTTATTCATTTTGGAATCCGATATAGACGTGCCACTGGTGATGTCGCAACAGAATTAGACTTTCGTTCAAAATCACATGTTTTCTTCGCGATTAATACACGATTGATTAGCCTGACTCCTACCTTGTCAGACAAAAAAATTCAACGTTCATTTCTCAATAAATATTTTGCTTACTTTGTGCAATTAGGCAGCTCCAATAATTGTTTTCTTATGTTTGAAATAATTCAACAAAGGAACCCAAATTACCAATCAAGCTTCCGTCTCCCTCAGGAACATGTGACCTGTTGAAAAGTGAAGGTCAGTAATTCTACTGAAGGAGTTATTAAGTGCGTTATAACATACATGAAAAAATTACGCGCGACTGACTGGCTGAAAGCGAGTGTATTTTCATGTAAAACGCGTGCAAAGTTGTAAAAAGAGTGCAAAGTTGTAACACAAGTGCAAATTACAAATAGTGCGCGCTGCAAAAATTTCGTTCGTCTTGACTTTCCGTGATGAGTTTCTTATGTAAATTATTAACAAGTAAAAATATGATTTCTGGTGCAATTTGGTGTAGGTAAGCAGTTGGAAATTTTTCAAAGACTACAAATTGCACTTGCCCTATAGGCTCGTGCAGTTTTGTTGTCCTTGAAAAATTTACTCGTGCTTATAAACCCTTTTCACCCTGAGATCAGTATGCATTTTCTCTATACTGATATCTATACATTTACTACTGATACCGACAAGGAGCATTTGTCTAACAATCAAGAGCTTCTTGGGTGGGTGGTCATTTCCTATATTCTCATAACCTTACTGCTTGATTCAGTGGTGATAAAGCAGAGAGAAATTAGCCACTGGTCACTCTCAGGGGTTAAAGGGTTAACACCAAATTGTACTCGAAATCATGTTATTACCTGTACTAATTACCACTGATCCGGAATAGACTTCCCTGTTACAGATTGAATTGACAAAGAAAACTGAGGCACTGTCTTTAGTATAAAACGAGCTAAGTGAACTTTGAGGGAAATCCTTTATTTAAAAATCAAAACGCCTTTCACTATACATGAACAGGACACGAAATGATGCAACTGAAGTCTTAACCTGGAACTACACAATGAATTATCAGAACAGACCAAAAACATTTCAAGAGCTTAAATACCAATAACTTTTTCCACTTTCTACTACCATGGAACGTTTCCATTCGCAATTCTCAAAATACTGAAGAGAGGTCATGACTTCTCTCTACAAAAACATTCTGACCCTGGAGACCAGAAGAGAATTCTTGACTTTCTATTATCTATTCACTCACATTCTTCAGCCAGTTGATCAACATTGATGAGAGGATGTAACATATGAAATAATATCTCCCCACACGTTTTAACTTGATTAAGGCCAAATTTAGTTTCGTACCGAAAACACTTAACGGAATATATAGTTCGTGATTGGCAAGTTTAAAATACATTCTCAATTACTATTTTAAGACCAGAAAAAAAAATCATCAACCTTCCAAAGCATGATCTCACAGTTAAATGGACACACACATGTAGAGCGTACAGTCACATTCAACTTCTTTTAGCGTAATCGTAACTGGAAAATGTTCTCTACTGCTTATCAAAGAGCGAATGTAACTGTACCTGGGCTGATATAAGAGCTATTTCTTTTTCACTACGGGATTTTTTGACTCGGAAAATAATTTAGGTTCTCTGGACTTGGTTAGCATTAGCCAGTTACGAATTCCATAACAGGTGTACTCTGTAAAAAACCGATATTGCGAGAGAGGTAAATAGCTATTTTTATTGTTATCCGATGATTATTTTCATCCTAGCGTTACGCAACATTAGAAAAAACAATTAAAGTCGAATAGTCCCACAGGTATTAACTACCTTGGAGGACTATTCAGCTAATCCCGCCACAGCCCGCCAAAAATTGCTCAGCTGATCGGTCAAGTCTTCTATAATAATATATTGTGATATTTTTTCTATTGAGATGAAACCATCAAGTACAGATGAGAAACTCATTAGAAACATCGTCTTAAGAAATATTTCTCCCACAGAATGCGGAAACTGCGTCTGAACTAGAGTGTTATTACGTAAATTTACCAATTAACCTCGTAATTTTTTAGCAAGATTTTGAATGGTTGACTTCAATAAGTCAATATCGATAATTGTTATAATGTATTAATTTCTGCGATCATTCAAACTTATTCTGACAGCTATTTAGCGCATCACTACATCAGTAATCAATTTGTATCTTCGGCATGACAGAATTTGCCGGTAACTTTCTGTCGACATTAACAAACATTCAACTTTACGGATGATTTGTTCGGACACAATACGTGGCTTATAGAAATCTGCCGCTAAATCGGCACAAAAGCTCACGGCTAAGTTCGTGGTGGATTGAAAAGCAACCGATTTTGTCGACTAAACAGTTCCATTATCGCTGTAACCTGACGTAATTTGCCACATGTGAGGTTAGCCTGTTGTGGGTGTTCATTGACGTTCACGTACCCAAGGATCCTTGACCCTCGGAACAATACATGCAACGAAGTCATATTCATAATTGCTTTGTCTGTGCTTCAGTAATTAACCACCAACCTGTTGCATTTGAATTCTTATGCAAAACTATCTACGCATCATATTAGGGGAAAAAAAATTTTATTCACGACGCTTTTAGCCAAATGCGACCAACTCAAATCTTACAGTTTTATTCAAGATTTTTTTTTTAACAATGAAGTAAAATGGATTCAGAAGTGACTGACGATATTGAGCACACAGTCAAGGACATTTTTAGATCTTGGGACTTAAACAAAAATGGCTTCATCGAGAAGTCTGAACTAGCATGTTGTTGTGCGGAGTTGAATTTGACAAAACAAGAAATTGAGGACTTGTTCAATGAGCTTGATGCCGACAAAGACAACAAGATAAGTTTACTAGATTTTTCCAAAGGCTTCAAACGTGTGTGCTCGTTGTTCGAGGCGGACGTTGAGGAACTTTCCACCGCGGAGAAAGAAAGAAAAAAGTTCGACAAACTGCTGGACGCCCTGGGAGTCAGGGAGCTCTTGTCAGGGTAAATATTGGTTATTGCCTTCTTGATTGGTTTTCTAAACGATTTATCAGTAAAAGTAACATTTTAACCGTTTCAAAGTCTTACTGGTGCTTTGACAAAGCAGTGTTCGTTCGGGGACCATAAATGGGGAAGCGTTCGAATGTCTGGATAATTTAATGTAGCTCGCAATCAAAACATGTCTCAATAGTTAATTTTTAACTTAAAACTACTGCTCATTTGCTTCCTTGTTTTCGAAGCATGGTCGACTTTACACTTGAAGTGCGTAAAATTTTCGATAGATCTTGTTTACTATGGAAGAAATCCAACTGATGTTTGAGCAATCACTAATGAGGTAAATTAAGTCACGTTTGTTGTTAACAAACTCGATCTTGTTGCTATCAAAAATATTCCAAAGTCACCATCGATTCCAATTCTCGTGAAAGTAACCATATGGTTTATATACTTTATAACCACGGTCAAAAATCCGTGAATATTGGGAGGTAGATTAAGATTTCTGTACATTAGTTGGAATATTGAGTTTTAAACTGATATTCTTGAAGCATTCAAAATAATTTGCGCGAAGTTAAGCATGAGAGAACACGATTAGTATTGGTATTAGTATGCGACTCCGTGCAATGTAGCTCGGTAAGAAGATTGGGTTCTAGAATTTCCAATACGTTGGTGAGGATTTCGCTCAACAACAGGTAATCACAAGACTATATGAACAATGTATTTACCAATATTGAGGCTCGAAAGCCTTTCTAACACTGCGCTAATAGTGCTGATAATAGCTTGCGGTAGCTGTATGGATCCTTCATGGCTAGCTTTAATTTGGCGGCGATCCGACTAATTATATAATCTGTTTTTAATAGTTTTATGGTGAACACAGCGTGCTTTATATAAAGTCAACAAATTCTTATCTACAACGTTGCGATCATAGAAGACTTCAAGTCTGTGGCAGTAGTTATTTACAAAGTTGTTAGTTACAACCTGCATCGCACAATTATTCCATCGAGGAATTTATTATGTTGCGTACCTCAAGAGCAGTTACAAGATAGATTCCTATCATCCGAAGATGACATTCTATATAACTTTGAAAATCATTTGAAAAATATATATTATATATACATATAGAATTTCACTCACGTAGCCTTATTGTGAAGTAAGAGTCCACTGATTACTGTAGCAGGTCGCTTTCTGGCTGCTTTGACGCCATTTTGCCATTTATTATTTGTATAAGCTGCTGACCATCTGTGGACACCTCACTGATCTTGGAAAGAAAAGTCAGTCGCTAATAGACTGAGGTTTAACCCTTTAACTCCCAAGATCTGATTGTTAATTCTCCCCTGTGACTGCTACGTATTTCCTTGTATACTAGCTACCAGAATTTGGTGTTAGATCAAGATAACTTCTACCTGATAAGTTTGAGTATTCTCATTGCCAGTTTGCTGGATATTGTGTGAACATTTTAGGGAGAAGTTGCATGGTGATCACTTCTTGGAGTTAAAAGGTTAAATAAACCTGAAAGTCCATTGAACTCAGTTCTGGATTTGAGAATAATGTCATCATAATATTTTTAAATTAGGGTGTTTTTGTTTCATATTCCCAAAAAGAACAATCGTACTTATGTTCTACTGGAGGACAGTCACTTTGGTGATGTTACCACTGACAAAATTTTGCCTTTTTTCACACAAAACAAGTAGATTCCTCTATGATCTATCACTGAACAGATGTGCAGCAACATGGAATCTATTTTTTTAAACTGATCAATCCTCCTTTTCCCTGACCCCACTACATGGAAGAAATGTTTGTATGTATATCATTGTATAAAGAGGTTTACCTGAACCTGGTGATTACAATGCTGAGAAAAAAATAGATTAATATTGAAGGGAATTAATCATATATGATTTTTCAGCCAAAGACAAAAATGCACTAGTCTTTGTCATGGTGTAATAACTTGTTTTATTTTTTTCTCTAGCCAAGAGTATGTGTCTGATTTGTTCCACTACCTGCATAATTCAAGTGAATCACCACAGCTCATAGCTTTGCTGGAAAGTTTTCTGTTCAGTGTTGTTAGAGATGTCAAACATTATTCCTCAGAGAATCAACGGCTGGAAGAGGCCCTCAAGAGGTACAGCAGATTGTAGTTAGTAGTAAATTTTCTTTTGCTTTTGGCCTCAAGGTTCACAAATCCATTTTAGTGTGAAAATTATAAAAGCAGGTTTTGGCATTGGGACTTGAGAGTTGTGCTTTCTCCAAGTTTCCTGTTTTGCCTTGTTATTTTGCTTTTTTTAAATTTTATCTTTTTACCACAAACATTGGCGAACTTAAATGCCAGCTACTGTATTTTAAATGCAGCCATGCACTTTCCCTTGTTGAATGGAAATGGCACCAGCTTGATAGAATGATGAAGATCACTTAGGATGTCAAATTTATTTAATGTCACGCTCTAATCCATCAAGTAGTGAAGTCTATGCTTGACTTTGTAGGACATGTGAAAAACACTCAGAACATATGGACCAACTTGATAATGAGCTTGAACAACAGATGCAAAGACTGGAGTCCCGCATCAGAAAGGAGGTTAGCAAAAAATTAATTAATATACACATTAGATAATTATCCACTAGTGTAACTGATTGTACCAATTCATTGATTCGCAAGAATGACAAATATCAATATTTTTTTTGGTTCTTTATTATAATACATAACTAGATTAAGTAAAGTGTTCCAGTGGCCAGAAAACTTTTGCCAGAAATAATTCTGTTTTAAACCTAGTTACCAATAATCAACTGTGAATATATGAAAGTCATATATTTGAACTGTGGATAAAGACGTGAATATGAAAGCAATCTTCACAGTAATGAATGCTACTTGAGCAGTAGTGAAAATGGGTTACCTTATTTTCACTACTGCCTGAGTAGTGTTCATTACTCCAAAGATCGCTTTCATATTCACATCTGGTTACCAATAATTAGTCACTAACGGTTAGGGAATTTAGGTTTGGTTAAACTATTCCCTGTATTTTCTATCCTCAGCTGATAATTAAACTTTGCCAATCAGTTTTTAAATTATCTTGCAGGAAAAAAGCAAACAAGAGAGGTCCAACCTGGATATTGTCTGGCAACTGGAAAATAAAAATAAAGAGATACAAACTTTAACAGCCAGAGTACAAAAGGTACAAAAATAATGATTGCCAACTGGTTTATCCGATAATTTAATGCAGTAGTGTGCATTGAAAATTTGATATAATTGAAAAGTTCATATAAATTTGTTTTCATAAGCTAACCCCAAGTTTGATTTATTTACAGCTTGAAGGAAAGCTGAAGAAAAAGGAACCTGAGGAGCAAAAGATCAAGGAGGAAGTAGATGATAAAGTTCAAGTAATGATAATAGTTACTTCAGATTGTTAAATTCTAAATTTTTTTTGAAACCTCCAATAGATTCCAATATGTTTGAACACATTTGAATGTTTCACACATGAATAGGGTAAAAGAGTGTTTAGCAAATTTACAATTATATTTATATTTTGAATTGCATTCTTTTATTTTAAAACAACAACAACAACAACAACAACAAAAAACAGTGAAAACGTTTTGACTATGTTGGCACTTTTTTCTTGTGTGAGCTTCTTAAAAACCAACAAATGGTGTACAATGAAACCATTTTAGTCACCATTAAAATGTTAGTATGAATGGGGTACCAGAAAAGTTTGTGTGAATATTAAAAAGACCATTTATTTATTATTCAGGAAATAAGGTTCCTGCGAAGTCAGTTAACAGATGCTCAGACTAACTTAGCTATCCTGCGAAGTGAACTTGCCCAGCTAAGAAATGATTATGAAGAACAGGAATCACAGCTTACTGCGTAAGTTATGGAAACTAATAAAAGGCTGCAGAAACTGGTACAACATCAGGATTGTCAAAAGTAACTGGTGACTGCCAAAAATCTTCCAAAATTCCTTTTTGCTTTGTTTAGTTGGCCATTCTGCAAGGCTGTTCCTCTGATTTTTTAATAAGATAAATAATTTGTCACCTCTAGTAGTACATGTACATGTGAAGCCACCCACCTCTGTCAAAACCTTTACACAATTCTTGGAAGTAGTCTTGTCTGCTGAGTGTGTAAACAATGTGTTTTCATTTTCTCAAAAGTCAACAGTAACCTCATAGAAGTTTTAACATGGGGCTATTTGTTGTAGTTTGATTGAAGTATTGCTTGATTTTGCCAGGGAGAAGAGAACTGTGATGGAATGTGTACAAGAACAAGAAAGTTTGACAAGGCAGCTTCAGTTATTACAGTAAGTTAATTTGTCCATTAGCTGTGGTGCCCACTAAATAAATCATGTCAAGTTATCGGAGGGTAAAATAAAATGAATAACCAGAATAAATTTGAAAGAAGATTTTCTTACAACCTTATAAGGGCATAGTGAATTGTTTAACTAAACAGTTATACAATTTTCAACCAAGAATATTGCTTTAAGTGGTTTAGATTGAATGTGGACACTTTTATTTTTATGAAGAATGTAATCAAACCAATTTTCCTTTTATTCCTGCAGTGAGGCAAACAAAAAACTTCATGATACAAATGATGACTTGCGGGCAGCTTTGGAGGTATTTTTTTTAATTTTGGATAATTAAACCATTGGTTGAAACTATTTATTAAAAAGGTTCTTATTATTAACAACTATTAAAAATGTACTAATGAGCAAACCTGAAACTATTTGAGGTTCCAAAGATTGTATGGTCGGTAGGGATCAATGTGAGAATCTGTGCAACTGCCCACCTACCCCTCCCCCAACCTAACATTGGCTCTAACTCATCATCAGTTGACTCCTGCTGGTTTAGGGGAGGGGTGGGTGATTAGTTGCTCAGGGATTGACTTTCATGCAAATGTAGCTGTAATCTGTATGATGATTGTGTCTCAGAATGAATATTCTTTCCTTCCTCAATTTACTCACCTTCATAAGTTTATTGAACTTTCAGGCTGCTTACCAAATGTAATGTTTGGATTTTGTTATGTATTCATCAAAAATTTGTTGTCAACATACCCTATACATTTTGCACCTTTGTTAGAATCGTTATTCTCATCTCCTTTCTTTGTTTGTCTTCTACAGGCTAGAAAAAATAGCGACAAAAGAAGCCCATCACCAAGCAAGAGGCATTCAATATCAACATTGTACTCTCCTACATCAAGCACAACATGGAAAAACAACAAATCACCCAGTCACAGGTAATGACAAACTCATGTGTTAATGGAAGATACCTGGTTTGTTGAATGTGTAATTTTAAGCCTAAATGACTGTATTCTGTAGACACTGTCTGTGGGGGATTGGCAATAATTAGTCAGAATCTTTGATCTTTTTTAAAAGATAACATTAAATACTTTTTCACACTATTCAGCTCTCTGTTAAGAGGTTTTCTGTTTTACTTACCTACATTCAGTCAATATCTGGGTCTTAAATGAGGGTTTTTGATTTTAATGTGAACTTTTGGAAGTTTTTTTTGGCTCAAAAATGATTATAACTCAAGAACATGGCAAAAACCTACAATAAGATAAATATTAACCCCTCTTAAAAGGGTATTTCTACACTTTAGGGACATATTTGGTATATAAGCTTCAGTTGCAAAAAAAAATTTAGGTTTTGATCATATTTAAAGCAGGTGTTCTTCAGGATTTGCAGAGGACTTGGGAGCAGACAGTGTGGATGGAAAATCTGTGCAAAGTACTCCATCACGAAATGTAGCATCATCTTTACCTAACAGCATCAGTAATTCTCGGCGGGGATCTGCTGCTTTGCTGCCCAGTCAGCAAAGCTGTGAGGTTGATGATGATTCTCTTGCTGGTGAAAGCTCACTAATGACTGAGTTAATGCAGGTTCAGCAGCTCACAGTAAGTTGGAACATAATTATAATTAGCACATGGATGTTCTATTTCCAGATCTTTATCTTGTACCTTTAAATTGCCCATTATAAACTCAGACCTCAGGGAAACTGAGTTTGAACACAAGAAAAACTTTCTAATTATAATATTCCCTGAGTTAAAGCTATTTAGGGAAGTAAATTCTGAATTAATGGAATGATGCTTTGATGTAGTCTAGGAATGGCCATGATGAATGGTTAATAAATATTGTAAACACGTACATTTACAAAAAAGATACAGTCTAAATATTGATGTTTCAGTGGGTAAACTTGAACACTGTGTGTAAATTGCATGTGGGTTGGTTAATCATTGAATTTAGTTCAAGTTATGAACTTAACTATAAAACAGAAAGGTGAAGTACAACGTCCATTAAATTCAGGTATAAGAAAATGAAAAAACATAATAAGAGTTGTATGAGTGAATAAACCAATGAATCGTAAATAAATAGATAAATAGACTTATAAATAAATGAATGAGTAAGTGAATTAATCAATAAATGGCCATTTGTTTAAACTTTACATAAACGTATATAAATAAAAGGCTCTGCATTGACTTATTAAGTAAGAGTTAAATTCTGGTAATTTATAAACTTATGGAAGGCGGAAAACTTGTAGGTTCCTGAAGATATCCTTGAAGAAGAAACGAAATCCACACAGCAGTTAGACTATAACAACAATGCAGGCATACTTAACAGCCGGGAAACCGGCCAGGTACATCACTTGTTACCTCCTGCAAGGCAATCATGTGAAGTGGATGATCATGTTTCAATTGAAGACAAGACCTTGCTTGATGACCCTGTCATTTTGGGGTTTTGTTCTATGGTAGGCAACAAAAACTACCTGTAAATATTAAAAAATGATATATACACAACCTGTGTATTGACTGAACTACCATACAAAGTCCAAAAGTCCAAAACATGCATCGGAGGTCACGTTAAGATTGGCAACATCAAAAAGATTCTGTTTGAAAAAAAGAGAAAACAGAAAGAAGAATGGAGAATTCTTTGGCGCATGGTTGTGTATATTCAGTATAACAAATTTATTTTGATAAAACAGCGACTACGTAAATATTAAATTAAATATTAACCTAAGTTAAATTTAAACTAAACAGGATAAAACTCATAAAACTACAGACAATACACGCTTGACATCAGACTTGGACAGTGAACAATCTGACGTTCCTAAAGACACGGACAAACTACTGAGAAACAGAAATAGCTCAAGGTTTGGGTCACGATTTGGAAAGTACTTCGGGAAACTGTCCAAAAATACCAGAAACAAGGAGAATAGCAGACCAAGTGAGGACTTAAAGGATAACTTTTTGAGGAAACGTGATGCCAAAGATAATGTCCTAAAAAAAGATGATAAGTCTCTTGGACAGAGCGACTTAAAAGATTCATCACTGAAAAAGAGTGACACAAGAAAAGGGAAAAATTATTCAAAAAAAAGAGCTGATAGCAGAGTGAGCAAACCACAGGAAAAACCTGTTTCAATTGTAAAAGAAAGTAAAAAAGGACGAAATGTTGTTGATGCTCAAAGTAGATTAAAGGCAACAGAACATAACTCAGACTCTGAGGATAAAACAGAGAATGTTACACGAGGGACCAGGGAAAATAGAAATTCAAGTAAGGGCGGGGTGACTTACAACAGACTGCGGAGGAATACTTCAGTTACTTTCTCACCAACTGTGACATGCACAACCGACACTCCACGAAAATCAAAGTCGATCACAACAAATAAGAAAATGCCAGCAGCCCTTGATCTCCGTTTACGACATTTCGCTGCAAGCGAGACATCTGATACTGACAGTACAACAACACAAGACACAGAAACGGTATGACACATTGGATTAATGTCAATATCTTAGGAACTGCACACCAACCCCTCCCTTAACTCAACAATAGTCAACTGATAAGAAGTGAAGGTTAATGTTGGGTTAGGGGAGGGGTAGGCGCGCAGTTGATCAGATACTGACTTTGATCCGACACACATAACTACTAACAATAATTGAATTAAAATGAAGTGACCCTTAAAATACTAAGCGATCACCTATGAGATTAGAAATAAACCATAATGTTTGCTCTCGTTTGATCCCCTGAAAGAGACGGGTGCTATGGAATAACCGTTTCTATGAAGTAAAATAAACTGATAAATGAAGAGGTTAACTAATTTCCTAAGTTCCTTTCTTTCACCTCTATTTCCATCAAACTGACAGTGATAGACACAAAGTATGGCGAAGTATAAGGGCAATTGTTTAATGGTGGCCTTCATGATGGAGTTAATAAGTTTTCTTTAACATCATTACTTGTTATAGAATTTTCATAGAGACTTAGAAGATGAGGATGAAGCATACAATTCATTGAGGTCATCTGAGAGGAAATCATTCTCCAAGCAGCTGGATATTTTACAGTAAGCTAATTTTATAGCTTAACTCGTTTCTTTCATGCCAAGTCGGTGGGTTAAAGCTAAAAGCTCTAATCTCCTACTCCTATGAAGTCTAGAGGGTGTTACATGTGAAAACAGGTCCAGCAAAATTCTTATAGTGAGATGAATTATCCACTTAATAAAGTCTGAGAAGAACTTTTGAAAAAATGATCTGAAAAGCATTTGATCTTCTATGATGCACTGGTCACGAGAGGCAGCAACAGTAATAATGTCAGTTTCAGCAACAATAGACAAAAACAGCATCAATAAGGAACAAAAGTCAGTCAAAGAATCGAAGTCCTGTCAATTCAATTTGTGTACCCTCTTCAGCAGGCTAAGACCCCAATCTCATATGCTGTCCTATGTTTTATCTCTAACAGGGAAACCAATAAAAGACTATGTGACAGCAATGATGACTTGCGTGCAGCTCTTGAGGTGTGCGTCTCTGCTATCTGTTTTTAGAACTGATTCCTGATTTAAAATGTCTATAATTTTGTTTTGAAAATATTACGACTTCACGACATATTGAATACAATTTAGAAGGCCGGCATATTGATGTAGATGAAGATAGCTTTAACAACAATTATAACAACGTAAATACATTGCCTTTGATATTATGAGGCAGTTTAAAATGAGAGAGGTAAAGCGCACGGGTTGAAGTAGGGATTAATTTTCTCTTCGATAGCGTTTTCCGAGCTTGATACGCCTCACTAAGAACTTTTTAAAAAATTGATGGAGCTCACAGATTGCCAAATGAAGCTGTAGCATTTCCTGATAAATGTATGTGCTTAATAAGGTCTTCAGTACATGACTTTTGATTTTGCCAACAAATTTATTTTGGTTGTAGGCGTTAACAGGAAGAAGGTCATTAAAGTTATCTAAGGTAACTGGCTACATCTAGTAACACGTTTATTTTCTTCAGTATTTAAGTCTAATGTTAGGTGATATAGTGCGATCTCAGGTGAGTTGGTCAAATAAAATTAAGTAAACTAACAAGAGAATTGTAACATTTTTGGCTCCATGTTTGTACTAAGTGCATTAGTGGAATGAAAATTTGCAGACGTTAGAAATGAATATCAGATTATTACAGTAAAAAGTCTCAGCAGTTTGCGTTAGTACAGTTTCAAAGTGCTCAGGTGTGTTGAGGTTAAAGTATATTTTTTTGATATCAGGCGCGAAGAAGTGGTGAGAAATGTCATAGGAATCCCAGCATTCATAGTGATTATGGCTCCATTTCCAGTCGCAGTATTACTCCCAACCAGTGAGTGTTCTTGTTACTTTAGGTGTAGTTATCTGCCTGACGACCTTCGTTTAGCAACGGCAGTATTGTTTAGTATGCCGTTATGCTGGTCAGGAATTTTTCTTTAGTACTAAATCAACTTTTAACTGAGTTGATTAAGTAGGGGATCGATTGTTACTGTTGTCACTGTATAGTTTATCCTGGTGTAATGCCTAGCTGTATTTGATCGTGATGTTGTACCCATGTGTAGTTTATCGTCGTCTTTCGCCCATGGAAAGTTGATTCTGGTGTTTGGCCCATGCGTATTTAATCCTTTTGTGTTGCCTATGTAAGTTGATCCTCGTGTTGCTCCGATGTTTAGTCTGCAGGGACCAAAATCGGAGGATGATGTTGCCGATGGTGCTGAAGCTGAAGAACCTGGCGAGTTGTCTGGATACGAACCCGAGTCTGACGTGAACACCATGACGGTATTTAGCGTTTCATATCTGCAACTGAGCAACTCCTGTCACGCTTGGACAATCAGTTTGACAGTACTTAGGTTTACTTCACTGCTAGACAATTAGGCGGATAGTTACATGAACGGTATTTGCGTGAGTAAATTCGGAGTTTGTGGGAGAATTGTTACAGGGAAGGCAGGGTGCTAATCAGAATGTTCCTACAAGCAAACTGGTGGGACGAGTTGATACAGCTCAGGATATTGCCCCCTTTATCACGACGATGGCTGCAATTTGTTCGTCTTTAGAGCAACCCCTTCATCGAACCGTAAAAATAGTGTAAAAAATTATTCCTATTGCTGTACTTTGAATGATGATTCGTACATAAACCAATTAAACGAATAACAATGACTAAATAAATAAATCAAAATCAAATATGATAATAAATTCATGATACTTATATAAACAAATAGATAACAATAGATAAATTTAAGATTTCATCAAGGGAGGAGATTTAAAACTGCACTGACTTATGCTTGGCTTAAACAGATTTAGCGGAAATTAAGTTGCTTGAGTTTTAAATTAAACGTAATAGTAAAGTCCCTTGTAATTAAACGTCCAGGTAAACGCTCGGCATTTTGAAGAGGCTCCTAAGTTATCCAAACTGACGGCCACTCCGCATGAGCGTCACGTGGTACTTAAGGAACCCACTAGTGATGTAATGTGGGAAAGTGACTCAGAGAGCGACCCAGTCCCCGCCCAACCAACACTACACCAACATGAACAACAGCAACAAGAACACCTGACGGCAAACGTTGAAACAAACGCAAACAATATCACACACTCTCCGTTCGTTCGAAATAGTCTTACGAGAAAACCTTGTAGACATAAAAGTCTTGAACAGTTATTCAATCAGTCAAACAGTAAAGGCGACCGATCGGCCTGGCCGCCAATAGCTCGAGCTGGTAAATGGAACAGTATGGAACAAGTGAAGAAAAGAAACGATTTTATTGGAGAGCGTACACTATCACTACCCACTTCACGCTGGCAAAGCGACGAAAGAGTAAACCTAGGACAAGGGATAGGCCTTTGGCAGCTATCTGAAAAGCTTAACGTTTTGCGCGCCAGTAGGGAAAGTGTGGCAGAGCTAAAAAATGATGACTATAAAGTAAATGTTATTGCTGCTTCTCACGAACCTGTCATACAGAACTTCAATACTGATAATCAAACAATTTTTCATGATGATTTAAGTCAGTTAGTAAGAAAGCCTTCCCTGAGGCAAAGGATATTCCACGACAAAAAGATCGCCGAAACGCCTGAGGACGAAAGTACGCCGATCCCGTGTGACTTTGCCGGAGGCTCTAGCTTAAAAAGGAGAAATTCGCTGGTAATAAAACGCAACAGAACCAAGGTAAAAAATTTAAAAAGATAAACTTTTCAACTTAAACATTTAAATTTAAAAGATGAAAGAGAGCCCTCCTCTTAAAATAAAACAGTGGCTGTCGAACATAAATATATTTTCTCGAGCCTAAACTTTGGACACGTAGCCTAAACCCATAATAAGTATATAATAACGTATGAAAAATTATGAGGGTATTTTAAATCTAAGCTTTAATTGAGACAGAATGGCATCCTCCGCTGTTTTCAAGATGAAACTTCATGTAAATAAGCGACTGTTAAACCAAAGAGCTAGAAAAGTTAAGTGCTCAAACAAGACTTTCTGAGAAACACAGATTGAACTTTTACTCGGAATGTAAATTTTGAATTCAACCTCTTTTTAGTTGCTAGACGAATGGTCACGAGTGAAAGAGTAAACTCTGATCCTTTTATATTAAAAGTTCGCGTCTCAGTATTTAAGGAGTTAAATTGGTGTGATTTATAAAACTTAACCATTCGTACTCGAACTAAGCTTGAATTGAAACCCACTGTAACTTAGATTGAACTTAAACCCCGCGTTATGAAAACGATAAAGTGGTTTAAACCAAAACTTTTAAGTCAGTGAAGGCTAAGTTCAATAATAAAACTATAAAAGCTATAATCACTCTTTGTTCACTTAGTGCACTTTATGTTTTCAGTTTATGCGTGAATGACCCAGAGACGTATTTTATTGCTGTTTATGATAAATCATGTTAGTTTTTTTAAAGGTGCAGTGTAAATGGAACTTCACCAATCTCTTCTGATAGTTGATTTAAAATAATTATAATGATAAACCTAACAGACCTGCTGGTTGTTGATCGTTCAACAGACGGACTCTCTTCCTGAATCTGATAACAGCAAGCCTGATACATTCAGCGCAGAACTTGAAGCTCAGGTGAAAAAAGCTAATACTATGGTCATTTGCTTTTGACTACTTGTAAAATTCTTGCTGTCAGCAGCCACCGTAAATCGTTATTAAAGAGGATTACTTTTCAAACACCAGTAGATTTTGATGTTTAAGTTTCGTGTTGTCCACTCGCGGCCAGCTTTCCGAGACCGTAGGACATGATACGCCCCACAATCCACTGCTGGCGGGATTTAACAGCATATGATAACCAGAGGTCGAAGAAGTTTTAATTATGCTTTAAATGCATGTATCTTAATTTGGCACTGCTAAACATAACACCTATTAACTGCACGTAATTTTGCTTTTCACATCAATAATGAAAAAAAAAACTGAGTTCCAAACTAGCTGCAGTTGTTGCAGCGAAAAGCATGACAATTGATGTTATGGCTTTACAAAACACCCTACTCTACATGATGTAAAAAAACCCTGATCAAACAGGAAAAATGAACAGAACTTGAAGGCGAAGAGTTAATCGTGATCATTGGAACAATAAAAATAATTTAAATAACATTGATTTAACCCGTGTAACTGCACCCTGATTAATTGTCATTCACTTGCTTGATTAAACACTGAAATTGACATCAAACAGCTAAGCCTTGAACGAAAAGTAGTCCTTCACTTTTATTATTATTTTTGTTATTTTCATCATTGCCTTTATCATTGATACTATTGTTATTACTTTATCGTCATTGTTGTGATAAATAATATTACTATCATTATACAGTTTAAAAGTGTAATCGAAGAAGATGATGAAGACATTGATGAAGATGACGTAGGAGACGAGGAATTAGCTCAGTTAGTTGCCATGGCAAGAGCTAATACAGAGTCTGAAGATGATAGTGAGACGGAAGCAGAAGCGCCCGAGGGGGAGAGGGGTGCAGCTGTTGGTTCAGACTCTTTGTCTGAGGCATCCTCAAATACGCCACTGCATGTAAGTACATAACAGCACGTTAGTGCCACATATCACATCAGTCTTGCATATCACGTTCGTACCACATATCACATTAGTATCGCATCTCACGTGGGTACCACATATCGCATTTAATTTAGTGCCTCATATCACGTTGGTATCGAACATCATTAGTACCCCATATCACGTATATATCGCATATCACGCAAATAGCAAATGTCACATTTTGTACTGATATCACTCAACTCCCACATATCACGTTAGTACTTATATGACGTAAGTACCGCATATCACATTAGTACTGCTATCACGTTATTGCCACATATCACGTTAGTACCTCATATCACATTAGCACTGATATCACGTCATTACCACATATCACGTCAGTACCACATATCACATTAGAACCTCATTTTACGTATCAGATGTCTAAGTCTCGCAAGTATCACATATCCTCACGTGACGCGATAGATGACTAGTTTGAATTCTTTTCACCCCTTTCCCCCCCCGCCCTACTCCCCTTCCATGGGCTTAGCAAATGCCCGAGTAATGGGTGGTACGTCTTAGACCAAACAATTAAGTACAACAAGAAATGTGCGTGAATACCTTTACACTAAATTTTATGGGAATTTTTTTGATCGTCGATTATTTTTTTTAATAGTTATCTCCTATGATAGTGTTCAGTGTTTCATCCAGTGGTTTATCTTTTTCTGTTGAAGGCATCAGTAGCAGAGAGTAATGTTCCAGAGCGCATGTATAAACTGGTTTTAGCGGGAGACGCGGCAGTTGGCAAATCAAGCTTCATACTCAGACTCTGTAGGAACAGATTCCACAGCGCGCTGAATTCCACGCTCGGTATGTAACTCGATTTCGACTGCGGTTTGTTTACACGAGACTGTTTAAACACGCTCAGGTATAGCGTGCACGCGGTCAGATGCCGTGGAAAAGCTGTAGTGGTTTACATTCGTTCAGCCAAAGCAAAACAAACCTCCTAAATAACGTGTTTTTCTGTGATGATCGGTAATTTTTATAGTGAAGATGATATTCATGAAGGCTCTGTGTTCCCTTACTTCAGGCGTGGATTTTCAGATGAAAACGCTGGTTGTGGATGACAAAACCATTGCATTTCAATTATGGGATACTGCTGGCCAAGAAAGGTAATTTTTTGGACGTAACGTGTTTTAAGGTGTCCGCATCCGGCTCAAAATTCTTGCACGATTGGTGTCCATCGGTGAAGTGGAATCGAGGCTAATCTAGCGAATTTCCTTTACGTGATACGTAACATGTCAAACTCCGGTCGACTGTGGCTGCTAAAATGTTCTTCTGACTAAGGATGCGGTTTATGCGTCGATTGGGCTTCTATTGGGTTTCCATTGGGCTTCTCGGCCAAAGGAATCTTAAAAAACCTGTGCCTTGCTCACAGATTTGTCTCAGTTTAGTTCAGACGAATTGAAAGACCTCTGCCATGTTTAAGTTTCAGTAGGAACTTAAATACCATAAAAGGCAGTTTTGAAATATCTCTCTGCTAATTTATCTAAGTTCTAGTTTATTTAAACTGTTGTTTAATTCTATAAATTTTTGGTGTTCTCTTTCGTCGGAGGACCCCCTGAAAACCACCTAGAGTGATGGAGGCCTGCTCTTGAAATATGTATTTTACTATTATTATCATTATTATAGGTTCCGAAGTATCGCCAAGTCTTACTTCCGCAAAGCTGACGGTGTGTTATTGCTCTATGACGTCACTTGTGAAACATCCTTCATTAATGTTCGTGATTGGGTGGAAGCTATAGAGGTAAATATTCCCTAACTGGTTATTGCCCATAAATGGCTTCGTCGCTTATCTTAATTTTCCCATTAAACTGATTTTAAATCATTTCAGGAAAGCACATCCAAACCGATTCCCATCATGCTGTGTGGTAACAAGACTGATTTGCGCCAGTCGTATATTGCTGAAGGAAAGACCGTTATAACAGAGGAAAATGGGGAGAAATTAGCAAGAGTGAGTTATCGAAATTGAGGTCTCTATAGGGTATGGGTTACCAAGCTGTATCGGTAAACGTTTCTGTCTGGTGACCTATATCAATGGCCTGCAGATGATTTTCATGCTGCAGTGAAATTAACCAACGGTTTCGTTAGAGCACTTAACGCTGCTAACGCGTTACTCCTTTAACACTGCAGCAAGAGTGAAATCACTGGGAAAAAAAAACAAAGCAAAACATAACAAAACAAAACGAAAAGCGAAAAAACGCCTTCTACTTTCACTTAAATTAAATGACTGTATTCTTTTCCATGTTAACAGGAATATGGTGCTCTGTTCACCGAAACAAGTTCAAAAGAAAACAAGAATATAACAGATGCTTGTATTGAGCTGGGAAGGTAAGAAAAACTTCGCTGTTTGGTCAAAAAACTAATCAACTGACTTTTCACATCAACCAAAGTCGGTGACTTTGTTTAACTGACTGTATAGTTGAGTATATGAACTATCATTCCATGAACGCGCGTTGAATATTTAACAAATAGATTCCAAGTTGCCGTGCGTCTGTTCAGTAATAGATCACAGATGACGTCAAAATATGGTAAGAACAAAAAAATGGCACACGAGGCGCAGCCAAGTGTGTCACTGATGTTCTTACCACATTTTGACGTCCTCTGTGATCTATTACTGAACAGACGCACGGCAACTTGGAATCTATTTGTTTTATAAAATAAAGAATTTAAAAAAGTTTCAATGATGACATCATCTATACGTCTGTCCTCCAATAGATCATAAGTGAGAACCAATCAGAATGCGTGCATAACTGAGCTTATTATATAAAAGATAATTGATGGCCATTTAAAACGCCCCAAAATATAGATAATTGATGGCCATTTAAAACGCCCAAAAATATAGATAATTATGCCAAACTTTGTTTTGTAAGAACAAACGGAATGTTACAATGTACAAAAACACTTCCGGTTAAACTTTGCTTCCATGCGCCTAATGGCTAAGCCTATGAAGACTCTTGAATTACGTTATCTAATGATCCAGTTTTTCATAACGTGAATCAAATGCCAAGTTCTGCAAACTTACAAACCTTTGCCTGAAACGCCAACCTGATACTGTTTAGCAACAATCGTTTGTTAAGAATCACATTTGGTTGTTTTCGTTTATTCGTCCTAGATTGCTAAGGAAAATTGAGGATACAGAAGTGGAACAAAGCAATGGGTTGACACTGAAAGAAGGGGACGAGAAAAGCAAGAAGAAATCCTGTTGCCTCACATAGCCAGTGCATGGATTGGCAGCGAAACCACAGCGACCGAGATATGTCAATATGAAGAAACTTTGAATTTTATTTATTTCATATTGTTAGCTTTTCAAAGAAGCCATACAATATATTGAACCGTGTCTTACCTGTGAGATAATTAGTTTTAAAGTATATATCGTCGTTAATGTGCACTGTAAATAACTCGTATTTAAAAGAATTTGAATTGGAATTTTTTTAATGTGCAATGGGATGACGTCTTATCATACCATGTATGTAAAAATTTATCAACATTTTTTCTTAGCATCAATATTAACTTATTTGAATCACGTCTCATTGTAGTGAAATGAGTAATATAGGATTAATAGCATAGCCAGCATCACGATATTGTCATTTTTTAGCAGGAAATATTTTGTAAATACTTATGACGTTACATACAAATACCCAATTGTTTTCTGATTTTCCCATTTTTTACGCCTGTCTTGTTTTCCATACAGTTGCATAAACTGTGAGGAATGAATGTGAAGCTTATGTGAGAAAAGAAAATAGGACGTGTTCAATTCAGTACAACTCGTTCAAAACGGTTGACAACGACTGCAGTTGATTGTAATTGCTATTTGTGGAGTGTACACTCTGAGCAGTCCCTACTTCTCGGTGAGGCATTCGCGCGAGTCAAAAACAAATCATTGAAGGAAAAAAAAATGCCAGCGAGCCGCGCGAAACTCTGGGAGTGAGACGCACGAAAAGTAAGGACGCCACTTTTTTTACCGCCTCACTCCCAGAGTTCCGCGCGGCGCACCAACAGCAATAGTTCTTCTCCCGATTTTTTTCTTTTGACTCGCACGACGGACCTCGCCCGTACTTAGCAAAGTTTGGTTTACAACTTTACCCACTCAGCAACATTCCATAGTAGGACGCAACTTTGCTTTTCTGTATTCGTTTCATATTACGTTATGTTCGAGTTGTGCCGAGGAAACGCGTTTGGCAAAGGAAGCTGGTATTCCTGTAGTTAAAACAGGCTATTGAACATGGTGGCACGTTGCCGTAGTTACTCATACGTTTGTACTTTTACAAGTTTTTATTTAAGCACACTGAATGGTCGTTCGCGTCGGTAGTCGATAAAAATCGTAATTATTACTATTTTGTACATAAATTTTATGGTCACCATGCATTAAACGACTCAGAACTATGAAATGGATGTTTTTAAAGTTGTCTCAACTTTCAACTTTGTTCTGTACCTTTCCGTTTATTGTTAATTTAGCGGTATCTTTTATAGGATAGCATCCTGAGCAGTTATTACACCGCTAATTTATGAACGAGTAGTCCCTCTTTTTCGTCGAAGTCAGCTGCTCGAAGCCTTCAGGTTCTCAAGAGGCTGACGAATGGTGCTGTGTTGGGCAGACCTTGAGGACTTAGACCACATGCTTTTGCAAATGATATGCAGAGTAGACAGATTCGTCAAAGGAGGAATCTCCACCTCTACCCCACAAATAATAGCACAAATGTTTGAATCAGTTAACCCTACGTGATGGCTGGAAACATAACAATGTCAGCTACCACCCCAGCCCTCTCCTCCCCAGTCTCGCGCTTTTCTACCGCCTTTTTCTTCGGGGTAATGTTTCCCTGAGCAGTCTTGAGCGTATGTTATTGCAATAGAGTAGAAATGTTTGCCTTCCTCAGAACCTGTGTCAGAGGAACCGTTCTGTATAGTAAACAACATAGTAATGAACTTGTTGACATAACATAGTTATGAAATTGTTGACTAAGAGAGGATTTCTCCCAAACGATGTGGGCAACCCTACTTTCATCTTCCTTCAACTGTAGTGGAGCTTTGCATTATTCGGACACTAACTGTGCAAGGATATTCATACACGACACCATCAAGGGTTAGATACCTTGCCTTGAATGAGCGGCCAATCTAACTTATAAATAAATAAATAAATAAATAAATAAATAAATAAATAAATAAACAAACAAACAAACAAACAAATAGACAAATAAATACATCCATAAATGGATAAATAAATATCTTTATGGCGGAAGGGGTTTTTTATATTACCGGTACTCGGCCACTGGGCGTTAGTACCCGTTCTTTGAGATCTAACGGTTAATGAAGGAAATTTTGACATGAAAGGTGAGAATAGTATGCTAATCCTTGTTGGTAGGACTGCTCTAACTTGAAGCTGCTTTGATAAAACAATTTATGAGTCAGAAAAAGCATTATATCTATACAAGAAAGCCCAACCATATAGTATGATCAAACTGATGTTTGTACGTCCGACTTAATTCTTAGCGTACTATCGAGACTTGTTCGTCATAAAGATTACACGGAAACATTGACAGACTACGAAAGCGTAGTTTGATATATTTGCATTGATGCTGCAACTATAAGAAATCACATTTTCCTCTGGAAATATGTAGAGAGAGACCATAACAAAACACCTTTCAATTTTATTCGTCTTCACCTCCATTCCAGGCTAGTCTGCTCAGACGAAGCTATCGAATATCAGTTAAAATAAGTTCTAACAAGTCTGTGGTTATTTGTCCTCATTAGACCTTTGCACCTGCTGAGTTTTCACCATGATTTGCTTGCTGAATCCTTTGAAGAAGTTTATCATTCTCTTTAAAAAGACACAACAATGTCCTCTTGGAGTAATAATTGGAATCAATGTTCTCTATATTATCAATCACATCATGCAGAAGATGAGCTTTACCAAGACAGCAGCCAGGAGCATCATAGTTGATATGAGTAAAATGTACATGAAAATGATAATAAGAGGGCTGGTAATGAACATAAACCTGAATTTGGTCTTTACCAACACCATACTTATCCCATATGGCTTCCTAGAAGAAAGAGAAAAATACTATTAATATAAAACTACTTAACTCTTTAAGTCACCCTCGTGGCCTGGACAGAATTTCTCCTTACACTATCAGTATAATATCAAGCAGACAAGTAATGAGAATTAAGAAAAATATCAACTAGGGGATTATTAGTTGATCCAATTCCAAATTCTCCAAACTACATCATATGAATCGTATGGCAGACAGAAAGGAGAAATTACTAATGAGATCTTGGGAGTTAAAGGGTTAAAAAATGAGCTACTTTCAAGGCAAAATATATTGAAAAAGTAAAAAAATCAAATTTTTTAGATGCTATGTCGTCTTCAGGGTAAATAAGCACTGTCCCCTAAACTGCACAATTATTTTGGATCAATATCAGTATCTGAGCAATTAATCACCTACCCCTCCCCTAACCCAACATTAGCCCTAAATTGTTATCAGTTGACTGTTGTTGAGTTAGGGGAGGGGTAGGTGGGCAGTTGTCCAGATACTGATATTGATCCATTATTTTTAATCATCTCCTTGGGTAATTCCTGACGTGAAGATGTGAAGAGTTTTCCAACAAAGGAGTTGATTTGTCTATTCAAACTAGTTTTCAAATGTTGGATCATTAGGCCTGAAAGGATTCTGCATTAACCCTATAAACCCTAAGAATGACTAGCACCAAATTTCTCCCTACAATATCAACCCTGAATCACATGTTAGGGTCATGAGAATAAAGGAAATGATCAAATAACCAACAGAAGAAGCTTTTGATTATTAAACGAATTCTCCTTATCAGCATGTTAGGAAATGTATGAAGAGCAGTATGGAGAATTGGCATACTGATTTTAGGGTGTAAAGGGTTAATAAAAATATTAAGCTGTGCAGAGAATGCACCAGCTGGTAGAAAGCAAAGGATTCTCTTAAAACATATTTCTGCTATGTAAATAGCTCATTTTTAAACCTAGGTGAACTTTATAGACTTAAAACTACTCATTGCCAAAACTACTTATCGCCTGAAACTAAAGGGGACATTGTATATTAGCTACTTGCTATCTGAGCTGAATGCACAGATGCAACATAACTGTAATTTATATTAAAGTTCTATATTTATATTATAATTATTTTTCACATTGATTAATATTCAAAGTATTATATTTGTGCACCTCATTGTTGACTTAAATTACTGTAATGGTACTAATTTCAAATACTGTGATAAGATTTAAACTGATAGCCTAATGCCTACGTAACATGCAAAAACAAAGTCAACAGATGCAACACAATGAACTGCTGACAGCATGAGTCATGCCAAAAACATGTCTTTAAAATTTTTTTTCTCAAGAATTTGAAATTTATGTGAATATTAAAATATTAAAATCCTCTCTATTATGATTCTTGGATGAAATAAAGTCATTTGTTTGCTCAAAATGATTCCACACATTCTTCATTAAAAGAAAAAAAGAGACAAACAAAACAAAAACAGTTTAAGTATCACACCAAACCAAAAAGAGCAACAGTAAAAATCTTCAGACTGAATTTAACCATTTAACTCCCAAGATCTGATTATTAATTCTCCCCTCTTGCTACCACACATTATCTTATTTATTAATCATGAGAATTTGGTGTTAGATCAAGATACCATCTTCTGCCTGATTATTTTTTGTATTCTTATTACCTGTTTGTTGGATAAAATATGGACATTTTGGGGAGAAGTTACATGTTCATCATTTCTGAGGGTGAGAGGGTTAAGGTTAGGTTACCTGTCCTTTCAACAATATATTCCTCAGTAGTGGTAGGTGGGATCTATCAAGATCTCTGAGTGATTTAATCCCTCGTCTACGGCCAATAGCCACCAGGTACAGGTTTTCAATCTGTTTCTGATCCCACTTCAAGTCTGGCAACAAAACAAAGCCAGTTTCTGGGTCATTATCTTCAAATACAACACGTTCCACTTCAGCCTTTTTTTCAAGAATGTTGTACACCCACTGAAACAAAATTTTAATATCAAGTATTTTAGGTCAGTACTATAAACAGTTTAACACAACTATAAGATGCAATTAACCATTGTAGTAATAAATATCTTTGTTTTCTTAGAGTAATGTAAGTTTGGTTGATGTAGGTAAGTTGATGTTTAGTAAGTTGGGGATGCATTTGTGAGATAGTTTGAAGAATTGAGTAATTAAATTGTAAAAAAATTAGCATTTAAAAAATAAGACAAAAACAGAAAAAGTATTGAAAACACAGTTTTTAACAAAATATCTATACAAATCCAAGCTTATTGTTAATCCCAGAATAGTACATAATACAAATATAAGAAAACTTTTGTATTTGGCTATTTCCTTAATTAAAGAATAAATTTTTTTTTCAGGCTTTATGCTCCATACTGGTTAAGTACTGTTCATTACAGCAAAGATCACTCTCATCTTCACTGATTAATCCACAGTTCAAATATATGTGTATGATATTTGTATAATCACTGTCCATCATTCATTCATCACTTAACGCCGGTTTATTACATAACAAAAAAATTACCAGCTCCCAATTGGCTTGTTGGCTCAGTTGGTTGAGCATTGCAGCGGTATCACAGAGGTCATGGGTTCATCCCTGAAATTTTTTTCTCAGGCTTTGATTTTCACTACTTATTAAGTAACTTTCATTGCTGTTCACCCAACAGTTAGTTTGGGTGACCAGCTACAGTCTGTGTTCCTTATTTAGATAACATATAAAAAATTTTAATTGTAAATTACAAGTAAAATTGTTGTTGTTTTTGATGTTTTTGCTGATTTTCCATAATTTGTGGAGGCTCTGGTAATTAAAACCAAAGAGTCAAAAATATCGCAGAGCAATTAAACCGAAAAACATCACACATACCTGAATACTGAAAGATTTTTCCTCAATAAATGGAAGAGTAATTGATTTATAAACATCTGGAGTTTCTTGAACAAAATGCACATTTCGGGATGAAAATTTATCAAGATGTTTAGCTGTAGCTGGGTAGATTATTGTTCCCTTCAATGTATTGAAACGTGATTGTGGTTGGCATGTACACTGGTTGTAGATATCATTGTTAAATTCCATCTTAACGCTAGTTTCTGCAGACAACATTTGTGGTAAGGTATCTTCTGAAAAAGGTGTCTTCTCCAAAAGAACCACAGCATCAGATTCTGATTCTCCAAACTTTCCTGTAAATAACATGAATATCAGTTACACATTTTTTAAAAATCCTTAGAAAGAGAGGAGGAAGGGAGTTTTTTTTTGATGTGACACTTCTAACAGTGTTAGGATAAAGCAGAATCCAATTCCGTTTTTACTCATAACAGTGATTGACAAAATCTGATGATCAAAACAGGAGACTAAATTGCGAATTACAAGTACAATTACTGATTGAATGGGACAACACAATTCCTGTTACCAATACCAATTAATTATAACCATTGCAATTTTGAAGACATTTAAATGCGTGAAAGAAGGGCTGATAGCTTGTAATTCTGTTACTTTAATACTTATTAATTAATTACAATATTTGACATGAGTGCAATAAACACATTTAAAAACAGCTTTTGAGCATTCTCAAAAAGAAAAACTTTAAAAATTTGAAAACCGTGAAACAAAATCCTTCATTTTGGGACATTCCCAGCTTAGATGGTAAGTTTGTTTCTGTGGTTACAGTAAATGATTGATTGGTGGATCTATTTGTATAAACAGTCAACCCTCCGAGACGACACCCTTGTAGGTGGACAGTTCTACTTACAGATACTCCTCTCAATTCCCCTTTTTTGTCTGTGGGAAAGCAACTTGTCCATTTTTTTTAAATTAATAAGAGTCCAACATAACACTCTCTGGTAAGCCAACTTCCACCATATTTTTCTTCAGTCTCAATTTCAGAAATAATTTTTGGCAAGCAGACAGTTCTACCAATGGACACTTTTCTCAATTCCAGTGGGTGTCTGCTTAAGAGAAATTTGACTATACTCAGTGAAATCTAACTGTCCAATTTCAGGTGTCTGATTACACTGTCAAAGTACAATGCTACAGAATAACTGGTGAGAGGAATTGGATCAATATCAGTATCTGGGCAACTGCCCACCTACGCCCTCCCTAACCCAACAACAGTCAATTGATAACAAGTTAGGGTGAATGTTGGGTAAGGGGAGGGGTAGGTGGGCAGTTGCCCAGATACTGTTATTGAGCAGAGGAATCTATATGTCTGATAGGTATATAGTTTCTCAAATTTTCACCTAGTTTTGATTACTTGGTACCAGGTCTTTGTCTCATCTGATTCTGCCTGTATTCTTACTCATGACAAACAAATTGGGCTCTGAAATGCCTATCATGCATTCTCGATCACTCGCAAGATTCAAGATTAAATTGAACTCCACGTGGTGCTATAAACATCACGTTATTAATTAACAGGCACCAAGTTTGCGAATAGATAAGTATCAGACCTTTGTTTCATCTAATTCGGTCTGTAAACTTATTCCTGATAAACAAATATTAATGGGACTCTGCAATAACCCTCGTCTAATTGTTGAACACTCGCAAGATTCAAGATCAAATCAGACTACACGTGGTGCCTTCAGCATCACTAATGACAATAACCTGATCAAGGAAAGATCGAGATATAACAATATTACAAAGTGAAGCACATGTCATCCTTTTTAATTATTAATACGGACGTTAGAAAAATACACCAACGGGAACTATCATCACATTCCGGTTTATCATAAGCCTAAGTTCATCTGGCGTGTAGTGAAAAGGTCAACAGGTGATATACTTTATGTTACCTGACAGTTAACTAAATTCTGGTAATTTTGCATGCTTAGTGAAAAAGATCGACCCACCATGAACGGCGACAGTTTTACTTCTGGCATTTTCGTTCAGGACCTTGATGAGCTGGAAACCACGAAAACTTTGAATGCTGTTGTTATCCAGGCCATTCTCATCCGTTAGTTTGACCCGCTTAGCGGGCTGCACCTCGTTGGTGTCGGTCATTCTGGTCTTCTCCTGGACTATTCTCGTATTTCGGGTTTTTCTCGATAACAGATCGGCGAATAGCTTGGTAGCCACGCAGCTACTCTTCGGAGATTATCGAGCTTGGCAGCCATGTTGTGCTTTACCTGTCGGCACGCCCTCTCGGTGAGGCATACAAAACAAGCAATACGCCGCAAATCGTAAATTCATCTTCATTTATTATAACCGGTTAATCGGATGGGAATTTTTCAAGACATTTAAAGTCTGTGTCGTGGGAGAAAACTGAAGATATTTAAGGTGTGGGGCTACCAAGTTCCCGCTACCTAATCGGTAAGGAGAGTATTGGGAAATGTTCCCGAAATATTCAGTAATCTCCAGCGTAGTCTGGTTTAAAGTTTATTGTAAGTTTATTCTGCGGATGAAGAAATCCCTGTCGTCTTGTAAGTGTGATAACTGATTTAATGATCCTATTTCCTTAAGAAGTAATTTTCTCTCCTCGAATTTCTCTACAGCGATATGCATGCTTACGGCAAGGTCTAAACCGGTCGATGTTGTTTTTAACATCAGTACATGGGCTTTTGTTTTCTAATGATCTCTTGGTCTTTAATGTGGCACTAATTTTTACGCTTAATTTTCCAGTTATGCTCAGAATTTGAAATTGAATAACGTCATCAGGTTTTTCAATCGTTTCCTTTAATTTCGCCATTTATAGAAATTGTCTCACGCATGATACTTCAAGCCAGGGACCTGAACGCTTTTACGTCACACTTAAATGGAGTTGATATTGTCAACGTTGATAAAATTCTTTCAGCAGATCACCACTATTGCCACGAAATACTTGAAACATTTTCATTTTTGGAATAGTTTCTCCAGTAATCGTACTTTGTATGCGTATGAACCTACTTATCAAGATTTTGTCTTTTGTTAGCTTCCGCAGCTATTTGCATTAGCGTATTTTGGCAAGCTCGCAAACTTATTTTGTAATAACCATTAATTCTAGAATTTCAAAGGTAACGATTTAAAAACATATAAATTCAGAGAGTATTTCAGGGTTTTTTTTATTAAATAATTAATGTAGATATAAATTGCATGTTTTTGTGTTAGCTCCTTATTATGACCGTACGATAGTACGAAAGATAACCTCAGTTAACCGTGATAGTTTTTGTGGCAATAAATCCAACCTTCTTTTATTTCAATCACTGGCTGGTGATTTGAGGATAACTTTCCGTTCATCGTTTTCTTTGTTGTAACTTTTAACGACTATAAAACCTAAGTTTTTTCGTTTGTCTCACGATGTAGTCGCTTGTGATTTAGATCGCAACAAAAAGTTTTGAGTTTTCATTAACAATTTTAATGACTACTTCAGCTGCTCTTTCTCAATAGAAAGTTATTTGGAAATAGCACCATAGTTTTACTTTAGTCTGTGCTCTTGGTTACTTTATTGTTTTCTTTGCATTTTTAGGCTCTGCCGAAGTGTCAACATGGGGAAATTATTATCAAAAATATTTGGTAACAGGGAAATGAGAATTTTAATGCTCGGTCTTGATGCTGCCGGGAAAACAAGTATCCTACCAGAGAGCTGTAATTAATGTTACATGACTTTGTATGTTTTGTTTAACAAATGGATTCCATATTGTCTTACGTCTATTTCATATTATAAAGCATCAAATATTTTTTCTCATGTGCAGTTGGTCCAAATGCATGACATGATCATACACCCTAGCTAAAACTGGGGATTATCTGAGGATGAACCCCCAGTGATTTCCCCTGATTGTCAAAACTTGCATCTCCTACCACTAAAGAGTTTGTATCAAATTTAATTCAAGATTAAAGAGCATTTAGCCGTTGGTACAGAAGAAGAGACATTTTTTTTTTTGTTCACGACATTGCAGAAGGTAGGAAACACTGAAAAATAAAGACCTCATACATCAAACAGAAAGCTGTTTGCAGACATTTTTCTTGCATGTTGCAAAAATATTTAAAGAATGATGAACACAATAGCCTCCATTTAGTGTAAAAGTATGGTTGTATATTTGTCCTTGGACATTATCTTTCTCAAAGTCCACAGTTTCTTCAAGTTGAGCTCTCAGAGCTAGTAATATCTGCAAAAAATACCTGTGCCTATCTTTGTGCCAAATGGAGGCTATTGTTTTTACAGTAGGGTCAAAATGTGGCACTAACTAAAAATTTGCTCACTAAGCACAGCTGAGTGTGTCACTGATTTTCTCACCACATTTTCACATTTTCTGTGATCTTTTACTGAACATACCCTCGGCAACATAGAATCTATTTGTGTTATTTGATTAAAACTAAAATGTTGTTAATGGTAACATAAGCTATGCCTCTGTCCTCCAATAGATCATAACAAAGAAGTAATCAAAATGTATGTTTAATTTGGCCTGTCATGTAAGTAATGGTATATGAAGATAGCCAGTGCAGGACAGTTGTGCTACCAGACTCTTATTTCTTTCTTTATTTGACTCCTGCACATTGCAAAAACAAGTAATTGTTTTAGCTAGATTGAGATTGGTTACACTGGAATTAGCTGGCATGAGAGTAAGATGCAGTTGCAAGTTAACCTTTTAGATCCAGAGCAAAAGATCTAAAAAGGCATGCAGAGAAAAAAAAATAATACTTTTACTCATTCATCAATTTTATCTTTAATTTGAATTTCCCTTGTTTAGATAAGGTCTTGACAGCTTGTCATGTACAGAGTATCTGTATGTGTATGGTGCAGTTAAGTGTTTTGCCAAATTTTTAAAAGAGGCTAAGCGAGAGTTCTTTTGTGGTATCAGGTTGTTGCTATTTGGGTAGAATTTTTTATAACAACCTTACTGTTGCTTATTTTTGCGGGAACTTAACCACATGAATGTGGAACAGACAAAGTCAAGTGGTGGTTAATTTTTGTTGAAACATTTTTTTTAGGGTCTTTAATTTTGACATTTTTCAACAATTGCAGAGATTAAGTACTGCATAAATATATAAAATTAAGGTACTTCAGTTCAAGAAATTATTTGTTGCCAAAAAAAAATGATCTGGGATGTGCACCATATCTTCTGTCTGTAACTGATTTATGCATCATGAAAACATGTTACATGCTATGATGCAGATTTGCTCATAGCAGCTTTTCCCCTTCCTTCAACTTTTCAGCAATGAAGGATTTTATTTTCTACATTTTGTACTTCACTGGTCTAGAAACTATAATGAAAACCATTAAAGAGTAAAGATATTTTACCTTTGCGAACTAAACCACCAACATTCCAGAATTTGAGGATATTGTTTATCATCGTTTGAACAGGATACTATGACTTTGTTAGCAAAATATTATTGTAATTCTTTGGGGTTTTTTTTTGTTATTGTTCTTCCATGTTTTGGTATTCCTTAACTAAATACAGCTGTATTATACAAACTTAAACTTGGACAATCTGTGACAACAATACCAACAGTTGGGTTCAATGTAGAGACAGTATCCTACAAGAATGTAAAGTTCAATGTTTGGGTAAGTAGAAAATTGTGTAGCTGTTAATCGTTGGTGTTTGGAGCACTTAATTTTCAATGTTATTGAAAGTTATGTTGTGCACAGCTGATACATACCCATTTGATTACATGCTATGATCAGGTAGTTAAGTGAATTTTATTTCCCAACATATTTTGGTCTGTATGTTCAACAAATATGTTTTTTTTTTTTTGTCGTTTTAGTTCAAGATATATTAGACTACAAGTACAAACCCACATATTAGTGATGGATGTATAATTTGTTTTTTTTGCTCCTTAAGACTACAATATTCTTAGCTTGCTTTTCAATTGTTGTGCATTTGTGCAACATTTTGCTTGTAATGTATGTTACTTGTGGTTAAGCCATACATAGATAATATGTCTGTTGAAGAATTTACTGTAGTTGAGTTGGGTGATCTATAATTAAATATAATTTAGGAAACATTGAACTGCCTCTGTCTGGTTCAGTGGTTGTAATGAAATTTCATACAAATTTGAAACTGCAAGTTATTGTATGTGTATTGTAAGTCAAGAACATTTTAATCCTTTCACTTCAGGACGTTGGTGGACAAGACAAAATCCGTCCTTTGTGGCGGCACTACTATGCTGGTACACAGGGTTTAATATTTGTGGTTGACTGCGCTGACCGTGAGAGAATTGATGAGGCCAGGCAAGAACTCCACAGAATCATAAATGACAGACTCATGAAGGAGGCTATTATTTTAATATTTGCTAACAAACAAGATCTACCAGATGGTGAGTTAAGTTGCGGAGGTTGTATTTAGGACTGCATTTAAAGACACAGCTTTTTAGAGCTGTCTCTCTGTCATTGTTGTAAGGAAAAAAATAAAACCAAAGTATCATGTTATACTACCCCTACTGTCATGGTACCACACACCTTCTTTGGGAGAAATGTCCTATAAAATCATTTAAATTCAGGATTCAAAAGATACTGCTGATTGTTGTTGAAACAGAAGCTCTTTTTATGGTCATAAACAAAATACAGTATTCTTAAAGCAAAATACAACAGGCCATCCTACATAGCATGCTATTGAAGCAGTGGATGCCATTCTATCCTAGGGGACTCCCTGACCCTTTTAATGCACCACTTTCACATTTCATGACCATCCACACATACTCTTGGGTGTAAATGAAGAGGATTGTCTTAGTCAACATTCATTCTTGCAATAATCAGGTCTCACTCTTAGACTCACGATCTTCTGTTTTTGTGTACACTCATGAATGGAGAAAGGCAGCATGTCTTGGTCAATTTTCCTCCTCTCTATAGTTAGGGCTCAATCCCAAACCCACAGGCTATTGTCATTCATGTATACTCCAGGATGAAGAAAGGCAGTTTCTCTTTGTGAATTATCTTTTTTCCATAGTCAGGGCTCAGTCCCAGACCCACAGTACAATGCTAGTTATGTATTACTTAGGTGAGTGCTTTTTTTCTTCTCTCACTCCCATGTGTAATCTCTCATTTCAGCAATGAAACCTCATGAAGTACAAGAAAAACTGGGTCTGACAAGAATCCGAGATAGGAACTGGCATGTGCAGCCATCATGCGCAACAACTGGTGATGGTCTCTATCAAGGATTACAATGGCTAAGTTCTAACCACCGAACATAATGCATACCCAATATGATGGTCAATATTTTCACAATAATTAAAAATTAATTCTTGAGTTCTTTTAAAACTGTTCCATATCTGAAACACTACACAAAGTGAATTCAGGGAGGCAGAACCAGTTAAAATTGAAAACTTTAAATGAAGCATTGACATTTGACTGACATACTGCTGTGTATATTACACAGTGTACTGCAGTAATGCAGCAAAGAATGGTTTGCTATTCTCTTCTGTATTGGGACCAGTTTGAGGCATATGATAATTAAAGGAGGAGTAAGAGAGTCAGTAAACAGCTACTTGTTATTCGTAATGTCATTATTATTATTGTAGTGCAGCTTAAGTATTTGGTGAACTGAAGGTGGCCTCAGAATACTGTCCAAGTATGTTATTTATTGTTTCTGATATCACTGAATTTGCTTTTGGAATCAAAAGGTGAAGCAAGCTTTGCTTTCTAGAACAACATTTCAATACTAATGAAGGCATCAAGCTGTAACCACCCTCAGCCTTTGCTGATTCTTTTAAAGTATTTTCCCTATAAACACTTTAATGTTATAGTTAAATAGGAAAGCTCTTTGTTAAGAAAATGAAATTCAAGAAGAACCCAAACTGGATTCTTGAATAATTTTAAGAAACAATGTGGACACATTGTAAAATCTTAAGGAAAATAATGATTTTCAGAAGTAAATGTTGTTAAGTTACTGTATTGTCTAATTATGTTATTCACTTGATGTTAATATTCATTATTAATCATTCTTGACATCCTGAACTTTAGTGAGGACTAATTTGAGGACTCACCAGTACTACTTTTTCTTTTGGTAGCCTGTTCCTGGCATTCAGTCAGTAAATGACGCTTGATGGCAAAGAGCACAAAAGTAGTGGAGGAGTAGAATAACAAGAGAAGTTTGGGTCATCCCAAAAACTTTTGGCCTGACCCAAACCTCTCTAATTTTCCATTTATCTGCTACTATGGCCTTGTTTGCTTTTTCACTTCATATTATTAATTGAATGCTGGGAAAAGAATAATTTTTGGTAGTTCTTTTGTTACAACACTAGCAGAAGATAGCTGTGGAAGGTCAAATATCTTCATCATTTGTCTTTTGTTTGTCTTTGTTTTTGCACCATAATGGATTTGATCTGCTTAATGAGGGAGACAAATTAGGCACCTTAATTCAGTGATTTTACATTCCATTGAGCAGCAAATAATTGTCTTTGTATAGGCAGAGTTTCTGTTATGGTGCAGTTGTTAATGTCATAATGAATTTTTTCTTCTGCATGATAGTAAGTAAAAATTTACATTGCATTTTCTGATTTTTAATCAGACAGTAATTGATACAAAATAAAATAAGTATTTGAATTAAGGAAGTTACCTTTTTTCAATGGTCACTGGGATGTCCTGGTGTGTTTACAGCAACTCCCAGTTGAGAAAGAATACCCTTGTTTAGGGTTGGTGTTTGTAATTAAAATAGATTTTTTACACACTTGTTCCTTCATTCATCATAGGTCAAATTAACAATGTTAGTTCAACTTAGCAGGGTGTGATTTGGTCTGAAATCATGATCTCAAAATCAAACAGGTGTGCAGCACTGGGTTGATTTGAAATTACAAGTATGATTTCAAATCAAACTTGCATAACATGAAGTTCAATTAGTACTATATACATTTCAAAAAAAACAAAATTCCGTCTCTCTGATACAAGATTTATTAGTCGGTAAAATGTTATGTTGACCAAGTAGGTTGTTGCTGGGTTGTAGAAAGTTGCAAAAGCTATCATTCTTTTTCCTGATATTTGATTGGTTTCCTTACACAAGTGATTGGTTGTTTTATCTTAGTTAAGCTTCCTCATTGGCTGGGAAAAAAGTAGCGACGATTAAGGACAAACGATGTTGGGATTTGTGAATGAATTGCACCAATGCAGCCAATCAGGTTACAAGGATCACAAGTGATTTTTAAATGGTGAAATTTATATTTTTTTATATATTTATGCCAATTTGTAACAGCATCAAACAATGGCCATCTGCTCAAGCCACTAGGCAGAACCGCTATGTTTACCAGTGAATTTCTAAGGACTGAAATTGGGCATATTCTGATCAGGGAGAATGATTATCCTGAATTTAAACTTTGTATTGCTGGAACTTGTTAGGAGTATGAATAGTAAGGAGTAGTTCAATATTATCCTTTCATCTTTTGTTAAAGGGTTTGTGCTTAAGTTGAACAAAATAGAATTCATACCCTTCTAAGGCTAAAATGAAATAAAATCAACCTAGATATTGCAATGTTCACTGTCTGACTGATAGACTAGTTTCCCGGCAGTCAGGAATATTCTCCCAGTTCCCACAGAATACCTCATGAAAATTATTTGGTTTTTAAGTGGACCAACATTTTGCAAGCTTGTGTATACCATAAGACCACAAGGGCAGAATTTATCACAAACCCAGTGATTTTTCGTTGATTAAAAATCCAAAACAGTTTTTGGATCACTTTACATTTCTTAACGGACATCTGATAACTGAAATAAGTTTGAAAGAACCAGTCAGTAATCATTTTGATTACTGACTGGTCCCCTGATGTGAGCGCGCAGATGCTGCTTGTTTTATAATTAAATGATCTATAGCTTAAAAGTTAAACTGTAGTCGAAAAAGTAGTGGTTTATGGCCAACTTGTTACAGGCCTGTAGAAATAAAGTCAACTGGTGTCCCCCAAATCCAACCTTGTTGTTTTTTTCACATTTACTATCAGTCAATTTAGAAACAAGGTCTATTCTAATGTATGTTACATTTAAAAGATGATATGGATGTCAGTTCTCTTACATTTCTTGGTACAATTGCCCATATTTTGGGTCCCATATATCTAAGCGAATGTTTTCCAAAAGTGACAGTATTAAAATCTAGGTATACCAAAATAATTAAATGATCTATAATTAAGCTGTTTAAAAGTTAAACCGTAGTCGAAAAAGTTTGATCTTTCCAATACTCCCCTTATGGTTTATTTAGGTTTTGCCAATATTTCTTTGTTACAGGCCTTCGTTTGTCAGAAATAAAGATGTCAACTGATAACAATGTGTCCCCAAATATCAAAATTTCACCTACCAACCGTAATAAAAGAAAATTCTAAATTTAACAACTTGCCTTTTTGAGGTTTTACCTTCTCATTCAAGAACCCATATACAAGTGCATGAAAATATCCACACCAATTGGGGTTGGTGAGAATAACATCTATCAGAGACCTTGCATTTGTATCCTTGTCCCAGTCAAACCAAGAGAAAATTCCCTTAGCTGTAAAAAGACCTGAAAAAACAAAACTAAATAGATCAATAAAAATAAATAGATGTGTCAAAGAGTAAGCTCTGAATGGTGGAGTTTCGGTCTCATTAGTTAGCACGGTTTATGAAATTTTAACGATGCCCTTTCGTGGCCCAGACATTATTACCCATAGTCCCCTCTGGGTACTCCTTTGAAAGAGGCTGGGTGCTAGGATGCTATCAGCCAAGGTGTGTTTCTTATTCTGAAAATGGCGGAGCATCTAACAATGCAATAACGATATTTTGAAAGCCACAAAGCCATAGTTTCGCCGAGTTCTAACCCTTATTTGCCAATTGAGCCTCAAGGTAGGGTATTGTTCTTCACTTTTGTTCTGTTTTCGGTTTATAGTCAAATGTAGAGTCATGTTCGCTGTATCAACTTACAAACGCCTACATTTCGTTCTTGAAATCTGGAAGCTCTTGATTGTACGTTTATTTGCTTTGTGTGGTAAGATTTTAGTATTCAAACCGTGTATTGTATTGTATTGTTTTTTTTAAATTTGGAATTTCTCTTTTCCATACAGTACTACTCGTTTCTCTGAAGCTTAAAATCGAGGACGTTTGCTTCAAAGAAGACATTACTTTGATCATTTAAAGTAGTTATTTTCACTCTGTCTGTGGCAGCGTTTGATATTGTTTCCATTTTATTTGTGTACTTGATAATATATTTCCCGTCCTTCCTTCGTATTTTTTCTACGTTTTCAAAATGAAGTTAAGAATTTTAATTGACTGGTTTACGTTTTGCTGAAGCAAAAAGAACTGTCCTGATTTCAACCTCGTTCTTTTCCTCGATGATCGATATTTGTCATGTAATGTGAATAGTATTTACAGTAATAAACACCAAGTTCTCGCTTTTAGAAGTAGCTACGTAGTTCAAAATCAGCCTTGCACTTTGGCTATGTGTAATCACAAAACTTAGCTGAATTGTAACAGTGCTGATATGATGACATGGAATGTTTTTTCATGAATATTGAATGCACGGTGGGTAGTATACAGGGCTTGAAATGATAATTTCATGCTAGTACTACCTGTTTGGTGGAGTAGAATCACTTCAAAATATATGCTGGGTTTAACAATTCCAGAATATTTGATCACTCACCTCTTACTACCTGTGTGCATCAATTGTATTAGATTATCGCTGGAATATTCTTGCACCCTTAAAATAATCACAACCATTTGGCATAGGTTTTATTTCATTTGCTGTATGTAGAGGAATGCCTCATGCATCATATCCAATATTTATAACATATCAGGCAAAATTACTTGGTGCTGACTGGCTGAGACAGCGGGGATTTTTCATTCATTTCAGTAATTGCCCAGGTGCAAACATATATTTTAATTGAAAATATTAAAAATGCTTAACTTTGCTTACAATTTAATTGATGGTAAATATTTTAGCAGGGCTGGTTTTATCTATGGCATCACTGTATAGAAATGCAATTTCATATAGCTGATTTGCTTGTTTTACATTCATTGATTCCAACTGAAAACTGAGATGGCTTCGTACAATATTGTGCAACAGCATGCACATTTGACCTTCTGATAAGAGAAAAATTTGTGCCTTATATTACAAACGAGTAATCGTATGTTTTCTCGTAAAATTTAGGATTAATATCGTTTGTGTTATCAGGAGTTGCAGAAATTGCCCTCTTTACTGTGCGACCTGGGTAATTTCTTCAACTTCTGAAAGCAGGTGTGGTATTTATCTGTAATTTTTCTTGGCTCTGTGTCTACCTTCACTAAAGCTAGCAACACACATGGTGATTTTTGTCGTGAATTGTTTTGGTAATTACCACTAATCCTATGTAGCAGCTGAAAAGTTGTACTTTATTTATTACTTCAAGGATTTGGAATAAAAAACAGGACGTACACAGGAAAATGGATTGAATGTTCAAAAACTAAAAATGCTTGTGTTTCATTTCCATTTACAGGCTTTGCCTAAGTGTCAACATGGGGAAGCTATTATCAAAAATATTTGGTAACAAGGAGATGAGAATTTTGATGTTAGGTCTTGATGCTGCGGGAAAAACCAGTATCCTTTCGTCACTGTTATATTTTCATTTTTAAATTGTTATTTTTAAATTGATTTGGTTATCAGATGATATTTCATTTGTTTCCCTGAGCTGCATGTTAAAAATAATTTAATAAAACATAAAATGATAAAGGATATAGAATAAAAATCATTTTCAGTGTGTTTCAGGTCATCAAAGTTTACTAGTCAGGGGTGCTTTAAACTGTGATTAACCATGTTATCTCACAATACACTAATTACAAGAAACTTCATTATTAAACTTCATCTCCAAGGGTGCAATTGGCTAAAAGCAGACTGTTTGCTCTTTCAGCATTATCTGAGGAAGTACCTAGCATGAGTTAAAGATAAAAGCAGCTTAAACAAAACCTTAAAACTTTCCTTACTGACAAATCTTGTGGCAGGTTGTTCTTTGTACAAATTCTTTATACAGGCATGACCATTGGTTTTCTATTCAGTCAAAACTAACAGTAGTGGTACATAAGTATCACTGATACAGTATACCTATCCTTAACATTTTACCAGCAATTTTATACAAACTTAAGCTTGGGCAGTCAGTAACAACTATACCAACAGTAGGTTTTAATGTGGAAACTGTTTCGTACAAGAATGTCAAATTCAATGTGTGGGTAAGTGTTATGTTAGTGTACTGAGGTAAGCACTTTCAGTGTCCTCAGAGAGGAAGAGGTGTAGGCAGTGAGAGAATTGTTAATCCTTTAACTCCCATGAGTGACTAAGACAGAATTTCTCCTTACAATGTCAAAATAATATCAAGCAGACAAGTAATGAGAATAAGGAAAAATCTGAATTAGGGGATTATTTGTTGATCCAATACCAAATTCTCCAGACTAGCATCACAAGAACTATATAGCAGACCCGCTAAGGAGAATTACCGTAAGGAGAATTACCAATGAGATCTTAAGAGTTAATAGGTTAACAGCAGTTCAGTTTCAAATCCAAACATTTCTTTGCAAATCCTAGAACCATCTTTGTTAGCCATTGATATAATTTGTCATTTTACATCAAACTGGCTCTAACCTGTTTGGCTCCATCTAGACTTGGTAGACCTTCAAGGGCTCACTGTTATCATTATTATATTTTTTTTTTTTTAAACTACAGTTTCTAGAAAAACGTTTTGTAAAACGTTGAAACCTGTGCAAGTTATTCACAAATATATATTTGCGAACTAATTTCCTAATCCTGCCCAAGTGTGAATAACCAATTATAACCTGTGAATATAAATGACTTCCCAAGATGTTTTTGGCTGCAAAACATCTGTTTCTTAAATTTTAATTGCAGAAACATCTCATGATCTCAATTGCACATGGTAATCTTTATTTCAATCCCAAACTAGACTGTCAATGGGGAAATGTAAAAGGAGAGAAGTCCTTTGGTAAAAGACAAAAGAAAGGAGGGCTGTGAGAGAAAAAATTGAAAAAATCTTATGAGGAGGGCAAAAATATTTCACCTAAACAGACAAGGGCTCATTAATATACTGTCTATGGTAGTCACACTTCAAATAGAGCATCAACAATTTTTTTTACTCAAAGGACACCTGCAAAGGTCTACCATATCCTCAAGTTAGAATTCAAAGCTCATTTCTAGTTATTGGTTACTTTTTTTAATGATTGATTCAAATAGCAAAAGTTGCACTGTTATTAAAAACCAGCAATCTTGAACATTAGACAATTTATTTCAGGATGTTGGTGGACAAGACAAGATCCGGCCCCTATGGCGCCACTATTATAACGGTACCCAGGGCTTGATATTTGTAGTGGATTGTGCAGACTTAGACCGCATTGATGAGGCAAGAACAGAACTTCACCGGATAGTCAATGATAGGGAGATGAAGGATGCCCTAATTTTAATATTTGCAAACAAACAAGACTTGCCGGATGGTGAGTGGCTTGTCTTTTCTTAACCCTTAAACTCCCAGAAGTGACTAACATATAACATTCCCCCTTCAATAATGTTATACATCATTCAGCCAACTAGTAATGGGATTACTCAAACTTAGCTAAGACCATAATAAATTCCTTGTTGTGCGTTTTGTGAAAAAGAAGTAGAAGCTCATGAGAATGAGAAAGGTTCTTTGAATTGTCTATGCACCAAACTACCATTAACCCTTTACACCCTAACATCAGGAGGCATATTCTCCATACTGTTAAGCATACTCTGCATATTTGTTAAGGTGCTGAAAATAATAACTTATTTAACAATCAAAAGCTTCTTTAGTGATCATTTCCCTATTCTGGGGACCTTTATGTGTGATTCAGGTATGATATTGTAAGTAGAAATTAGATGCTGTCACTAAGGTGTCAAAGGCTTAAAACTTACTTTAATGCATTTTGCTCACAGCTATCAAACCTCATGAAGTTCAAGAAAGATTACACCTAACCAAGCTAAGAGACAGAAATTGGTATGTCCAGCCGTCGTGTGCTACATCTGGTGATGGCTTATATGATGGATTGACCTGGCTTTGTTCCAATCATAAACATTAATTATTGAAGAGAGCAGCTTTGGTGTGTGTATACACTCTAGCTACATGTACTATAATTGTTGCCTTATAATTTTTTATACCCACCTTAAGATAGATCTTGAGGGTAGATTATTGCATGAGTATCTACGGAGTAGTTTAATGTTTGATTCATGCATCTCTACATTTAGTGGATGAAAGTGTAACCTCTTGCTTGATAAGCAGAAGAAGAGTCTGTTACTAATAACAAAACATTGTAGGTTATTTATATAGCACCTGTTCTTTTAATGTCACTTAGTAGTTAAAAATTGAAGCTATTAATTTAGAGTATATTGTACATTTAGGGCATAACCCTCATATAGAGTTTTAGTGTCTTGAAAATACTTAACTTAACCCAACCAAACAATAGCTGTTTCATTGCCTTTTCACTGAGCATTGCTTTTAAACAAGCATTGCTTTTAGAGAAGGCAACTTGATTTTATGCATTCGGATTTGGTTTTAGACCCCCTAAAGAATGAAAAATCAAACTTTGTTGATTGCAAATAAACTTACCGACTGCAAATATGACCTTAAACTGTACAGATACTCAGTGGATCAAAAGGACATTGCTAAAAATGGACAGATTGCAAATGGAGTTTCACTATAGCAAGTACAAAACTGTCTGCAGTGCAGTTCAAATCTGCAGATTTTGTGGGAGTGGCAATGACTTAAACACAACTCTGGGCTTAAGTTTAAGATTTGAGTAAGAGGATTTGGGTTTTTACACACTCATTGTAGACCAGCAGCTTTTAGTGTTCAAATGGTTTTAATCATTTAGCTAGTATTTAGGAGTGAAATTTCACTTCCAGACCTGATATGGTTGAGTTATTAGAACCACACACAAAGGTTATCCAGTTTTAATGCTTATCAGTTTGTCCTCAACAATCCTGCCTTGTATGTTAACCTGTTGTTCACCACCATTCTCTATGTCATTGTGAGGACATTTTAACAAGAGCACATTTAAAAATGGTTTCAAAAACCTTTGTGACATGATAGTGGTAGCAATCAAATGTTTTATATTTTCTATTGCAATATTTGTTGTTTGATTTTGTTAGTCATGTTACCCCAGAACATGAGATCTACATGAGCAAAAGAAATGAAAGAATTAATAATCTGTAACTATTTACTGCCTTTTCCTTGTTGTTGAAGGTTAATCTGAAAATTGGGATGTTTTGTGAAATAGACTGTTGGCCAGTTGGTGATGTTATAGTCATTTGCAATGCAATGTTCTGCAGCAAACAGCACCAATAGGTGTGGCTGTTGCCAACTTTTTATAGCGAACACTACTTGCCAACTCATAGGAAACTTCCTTCAACTCAGTATTTTGTCACTTAACCTTTCTTATAACTCAAGATAACAGGCATAAAATACATTTATTGAAGTTAAAATTTGCTGTTTGTTCTAAGAAGTCATTGATTTTATTCTGACCGATTATCAATTCTGGATTGAGCGATTGAGGTTTAGGCTTTACTTGGTATGTCAGCAGTTTGACCTGTATGTTGGCAAGTTGACTAATGGTGTTGGCAAGTTGGTTGTGGATGAGTTTACATGCTGGCAAAGTGACCAGAAAACCTCTGCATGGCATTATCCACCCCTTTCAAAGAAGAGGCTCACCTTGGAGTCTTTCAGGTCTCTAAATTAACTCTTTACACCCTAACATCAGTATGCATTTTCTCCACAATTTTCTACACATTCTCTAAGGTTTTGAAAAGGAGAATTTCTTTAACAATCAAGAACTTGTTTAGTTTTTGATTATTTCCCTTATTCTCATGACTTTGATGTCTTATTCAGGGGTGATCTGGTGTGGAGAAATTAGATGCCAGTCTCTCTTAAGGGTTAATGATTGTGCATAGTGAGTTGTTGGGTTATAATCACTTTGGTTTGTAATTTTGAATTACAGATGAAACAACAACTAAATAAGTAAAAGTTATTAATAATAATTCTTATAAATAGTCACTTGCTTCTGTTGGTTCACAAATGATTTGAGACAGACAAGTAGAGTATTTGACCATGCTTTTGCACCCAAAATTGAATAACCGTGTTGTTAAAGTGTGTCTAGCACTAAAGTTCAGTTAATATAGATTACTTAGTAAAAAGTGCGATGTAAAGATTTTTATTCACAAGTTGCAATGAATGTCCAGAATGCAAAGTGAGAAAAATGTGTGCATAGTTGATCAGCAAAGGCATTCTGGTTGATCTGAATTTTATTTGATCGCATGGTTTTCAGGGGGAATGGAAGGGGATCGTTCATCATTAACACAGTGTAAAGGGGGAACTACAGTCAATTGACTGCCAATAAGTGACAGTCATTAGAATACAGAAGAGCCTTAAGGGGGGTATCAGGTAGATTTAATTTGATACAACCAGACCCAATGCTTCCTCTCCTCTTCTTCCATGACCAAACAATAAAAAGGTGAGTTGCAACTAAAATAACCTTTCAATTGTAATTTTAACTATTTTCAATTCTTAGGAGAGTAAGAATTAGATATAAAGTTTACTTTGCCAACTTATACTTGACCTGACGCATATCATGGTCATTGCCTACAAACAATTGTTTTCTGCACAGCGTGTCCATGAGTTCACAAGTTCACATGTCCTTCATGCAGATTTAACAAAAAACTGACTGGTGTGGGGCCAGTGTGTTGGCTGTAAGCCATTCAGGCCTGCACTTGTAGGACTCTGTGACTTAAAAGGGATACAGTAGACCTTCAAGAGCCATTTTTTTTCAGTGTCTTTTTTCTTTTATTTATTTTGTTGCTCTCACCTCAAACAAAAAAATGTAATTTTAAAGTCTCCAAAAAAAAATGTCAAACATTAAAATGCATGCAAAGTTGTTTGCCTAAGCCAAAAGTTTTTTTTCCAACATTGGTTCCTCCCTTAGCAACTAATGGATAATAACTTTCCTTTGTTCCTCCTGGTTCAAGCTTTTAACAAATTAATTTTGCACCTGATACAAGTAAGATTATTTTGTCACACCCTTCATAAAAGAATTTCAATTTTCATTCTTTCTATCAGTATTGATTAGAAAAAAAAGAAAGGCTATGAGTATTGGTAGAACACAAGGAACACACCACGTTTTGGAACAAAGACTAATTCCCAGAGTTTATGGGTACGTGGCAGCCTGGGAACGTGGTGAGTGTGAGAGAGACTGGAACGAGCAAGGGATCTCTTGGTAGCACCTCGTTTTCGCGTGATCAATCTGCTGTTAGTGCGCGTACGAGGAACCAACACAGTTGGGAGGAAGCCTGCAGAGAAATTGACCAGAAGCGACTAAAAATGCATCCATTTCTCGCCAACCGAGGCGGTTGCATCGAAAGATACATTCTTGTGTATTCTGGTCATCATTTGAATCAATCGTTATAAACTTAAAACCAATTTATCAAGGAGGTGAAGCATCCGATTCACGGTAAGTTTAAATTTTTGGGACTTCGTGTGACGTTAAATTCTCAGTAATCACTCCTTTATCCTAGCTCAATTCGCAGCTTTCAAAGCATGTCTCATGGCTGAAGTGAATATGGTTAATTCTTTTCTAGCAGACGCTTTCGGTTGGATACTAAAAGAATAAAGCTTTTGAGGTGAAACGTTTGGCGCCATCTTGGATTTTTGGAAGGAGTGCACGAAGACAGGCTCACTAAGGTAAGGTATAATGTTCAGTGTTATGCCTTGTTACCTAACAGTATTATCCTTGTCATTCTGTCGCACTTGAAGCTTTCTGCCAAAATTTCTCACGAGCTGGAAATAGAGACTGAATTCTGTACCACCCACGTGTTTTGCGGCATTTGCGCGCGCTGCGTCCAGTTGCTGTATAAACCAAATGAAGATAATTTTCGTACCTGCGAGCATCGGTGTGTTATCGTGTTAGTGAGTTATTGCTTTGGACGAAATTTCGAGGTTTACACCCGTTTCGTCTTTGATCCCCAACAAATTACGCAAATCCCACATAAGAGTCGAATTGCACTTCCATACAAACACAGTAAATTGGCTGAAATTGCCTAACTTCGACCCGGCACATCCGAGAAAGAAGACGCTGTTGGTAGATTGCGAGCATCGTGCTACGAACAGGGTCTCTTATCTCTCATTTTGTGCCACTTTTTTGGATGAATGTGGTATTCTCTCTGATCCCCGAAAAGTTGAAGATTTGTAGTATTCATCGCGAACAACTAAGGGAATTTAACTCTTCCCCGCATGAAGAAATAGAAGGGTGGATATCAAACTAGGAAAATTTGGAGGAAGAAAAGAGAAAGATGTTTCATGAAATGCAAGCTGAGATAAGGACACTTAAAATGATGTAGAACAAGTTGAGACTTCAAATAAAGAATTAATTGATTACATTGAATGCCAGCAGAGAACTCTGCAAGACTACTGGGGAAAGGACATTTCTGAGGTAAAGAAAAAGTCAAGGGCTTTGAAGACTTTGTGACAAGAGCTCAGAGAGCACTGTGGTTTGCTGAGTCCGTTGGACTAGAAGTTGAGTCTATTGCCACGAAAGAAGTCAGGACTGGAAGCAAACACAATGCAAAAATGGTCAGTGATGAGCAACAAGAAAACACTGCTACAGGGCTTGACTCCCTTTTAGAAGAGGAAAAGGAAAAACTGGATCAAATTTTATTTCTTTAGACAAATTTTTTGTAGGAGACTTGTTTTATCATGAGCTCTCCATGATTAATGATGATCTTCCAAAATCATATCTAATCAAGCAATGGCATGACATGAGCCATATTATATCCACACCTGGGAGAGCTGAGGGTGCTGAAGTTTCATTCAAAAACTTCTCAAGGAAAGAGTGCAAGATTTAATTAACCAAAATCCAGAATTTGATTTTGAAAATGAAAGTGTAAAGGTTAAAATATCAGGGGATGGGGCAAGGATGACTCTCAATACAAGCTTTATCATTCTTTCTTTTGCCCTGTTGCAAAATTATAGTGATTTAATGTCTGCAAGGGGAAAATTGTACAATTGCCATTCTGAAGGATTCAGAAAAGTATGAAATACTGAGAGAGTCATTTGCTGATTTTTTTCAGATATAAATGATCTAAATTCCATAAACAAAATCACAATCAATGGAAAAGAAATAACGCTTGAATCCTTTTGGGGGGAAATTATTAATTCATTTTAATCATGTGGGAACTTAAAGGTACCACCTCATTCTATGCTTGTGTCTGGTGCAAAGTTCATAAAGATAAAAAACTAGGGTAGTTTCAGTAGACCACCACAGCACTGAACAGTGGAGAAAAATCAGTATTGAAAAAATAGAACAAAAACAACAATGAATGGGATAGCAATCTCAAATACTTCAAAATCATTTATTTTTTGTTCTTTGGATTTTAAAAAAGTTCTCTTAAAGCTGGCATTCAAGGAAGTGAAGGTCTACTCTCATGTCCTGTCTTTCTACTTACTAAACAAATTGTAAAACAGCCTGCACACTGTGTGTATTTCTTGGTTGTAAATATGAAAAATTTAAATCAATATAAGAATATGTAATGAACTACTACAAAAACAGAGATTTTCTATTTTGTAATAAATACTCAATGCCAAATAGAATCAAATCCAGTCTTGGTTTCTTTAATTTGTCTCATGTCAGGCTACATGCTGCTCTACAAAAAGGAAACACTCAATTTCTTTGGCCTATATTGTGGGCAAGGTATAATTGACTCCCCTGTCAAGGTATAAGTCTTTGGACTCCATGACAAAAAACAGTCTGACCTTCACAGGAAAGTCAATTTGCACCCCATCCCCTACACTACCTATTAGCCTGTGCCACCCATTAGGAAAGTGGCATCTTATAAAATCCTGTTTTTCAAGGAAGATGTACGTGCTGTCATTGCTTTTTCATCCCTTATCTTTGATCAAAAAGTTAAAATAAGTGTGGTTAAAAGCAATGACAGTGGGTAATTGAGACTTTAATTTTAACTGCTCTAAAATGCTAATGTGGAGACCCTCACTGACATCAGCAATCTCCAGCTGTGTGAGCCTTGGGTTGTTGAATGACCTAAGGGCTGGGAAATAACATTCATCTTAAAAGATGGTATTATGATTTTTACATTAGATAGCAAATGATTACATACAAGCACAGAATATCAACAGAGAAAACCAATGTAATGGTTCCTCCTTTTTTTTTTTGTTTTTTTGTTTAATTATAAAACGGTTAGTCGCTCATAAGATCTTACCTCAAGGCAAAGGCGTTTAAATTCTCCTCTGGCTCCCAAGAGTTTTGTAGGCTCAAGTAGCCCTTCCAGTTGATGAAATATGCATTCTAAAACAATGATTAAGTAAGGTATAACATGTATTCGTTATTAAAGAGAGATTCTTTCCAATCAAACACTCGGAGCAAAGTGGATTCACTTACCTTTCCCTTAAGGACTCTTTCTGAAACACCCACATCATGAACCAGTGACTGTCCTAAATTTCTCTGATGAATTCTGTGAATGAATTTGACTTCCACATGTAGTTGCTTCGCAAGAGAAGAAAACACATGAGATTCCAGGAACACAAAAATTCTATTGGCAAGATGGCAGACTCTCAAAAGCACAGTGCAGCAAAGGTCACATGACATAAATGTCACTGTCACTACACTACGCCACAGTGACCAATTTTGGTATTCTTAGAGTTCACCTTGATCGTGTGATCAAGGTAAGAAGGGGAAAGTAAAATTGAAGTTATTAACTCAATTCATTGTTGAAATCTCCTCTCACTTCAATAATCTTCTGCTTTGGTTGAGAATGGACAATTGAGTTAAATTACTATAGACACCAACAGATAAGCAGCACATGCAAATATAGAAGTTTTTGAAAAGAACTGGAAAGAAATCACCAGTGGAGTCTAGTAGCTCTTAGCACTTCCTTCAAAGAACATACAACTGTGCAAACTCACTAACCTCAAAAGAGAGAGAATACTTAAATCCCCATAGTACAGCTCAGATATGGGCGTATGAGCATGTTATTCTACACATTTTGTTGTACACATTCATTCCTGGGATCTGATTGGTTCAGAGAACAGACACTATTCTCCCATCCTGCTTGCTTTGCATGTTGAGTTGCCGAATACATCCCTATTTTTTTTCTGTTCATGAATATTTACCATTTTGCTGGGTGGGCAGCATTGTTAAGTGAAGGCTTTGGTCAGGACCTTTAGCTGGTTCATAACTTTTTTACCTTTTCCTGCCAAGGCTGCATAATACTACCCCATTTGCCAAAGGTAAGAGAACCTAAGCTAACCCAAAGTAACAACACTTCAAAATTTAACCAATATATCAGAAACTACTTGTTTAGTATGCTATGTATACAATGTGACCTAATGTCTATGTAGTTGGTTTTACAGTCCTAAGAAACAAACT